GGAGGCCTACTAATCGGATAACAATCCTATGCCTCTAGCTATTTTCCTCTGTCTTGTCCCTTTAAGCTAGTTTCTATAATAATGAAGATAATAGAGTAAGTACAATCACTTAATAATTAATATCCATCTAACTCATATTAATGCATGTTAGTTAATTTAAATACAAGTGGCAAAGATAATCAAATCTAAATCATTTAACATGTTTAAGAGCATAATTCAAATTCTTATTTATAATACATATGCCTATGAGATAATGATTTAGTAATACATTTTCTTATAGAAATAGGACTTAATACATGAATTGTTTCACTAGGGTCATAAAACAGACAACCATATGCCCCTTTTTATCACCATATCAATGATCACACCTCTCTTATATTCTCTTTATTTCTTTAATGCAAAACTGTGGGCTATAACACCTAGGGATTGTCTATTCATTGAGACTACCTTAACTAAAATATGCATAAGGGGTTACCAGTCAAGGCTTCCTATCTTACTAGTGAGTCACAGTTTCTCCCATTTCTCACACTATGGAGTGTCACTCTCTCTAGACTAACTTTCTTATTAAACAAGTAGATAGCTAGCTAGGCTCAAGTCCCTTATTGAATCAGTAAGATAGTCTTTTATTAAACAAGGGGGATAGTATAAATAATAAATATAGCCTAACCCTCAAACTCTGACAGAAGCCTTAACACGTAAATGTTAATTCTTTACCCTTCCTCCTAGGCAAACTCCAACTTTTAAGATCATGCAATGCATGAATATTCAATAATTAACATCATGGAGGTGTTCACTACCCAAATATGCACAATATCTCATATTCATTATATATTTACATTTAGCACACATCATCGGATTTCATAACGCATAACATCATTGAACTCTACTATCACACAATCGTTGAACTTCACTTAACATATAATCACATTATTAAACTCCACATGATAAACATTCATAAAACTCCCATGAAACACAATTTCATTGAACTTTTTACTTTTTAAGGCATTGAACTCTTCATAACACAACAATCATTGAATTTCACAAACCATATTATTAGATTTCATACAATCACACATTATCATGAAACCCCATTACACATAATCATAATTGATTTTTAAAATATTTCATGCCACATTGCAATTTAAATAACTTCACATACTCTAAACATAACATTTTAAAATAATAAATCAATTAACACACAAAATTATGAGAAATAGTTTTTTCCGGTTACCTTAAACCTTTGAGAGGTAAAAGTTTTCATCTCTCAAAAACTCACTCCCAAAGCTTTCACAAAGCTTGAATAGTGCCAATCTGCACACTTTATAATTAATCACAATGATTCATTAATACCCCTTTTTTGGGATAATTTTATCTCTTAACTCAAACCTTTCTTTACTCCTAAGATTTAATATCTTCTCTTACAAGGGTATCCATAAGGTTTTTTAGCTTCGCCTAACTTACATTAACTTCATTGAACTCTTATATAACCATTAATGGAGCCACATTGCTCTAACTATCATATTTATGGTGGAATTTTCATGTATTTAATGCCCTCAATGACCAACACTCACAAAGCAATAAATGCTAGGTTTCATTAGTTTAATCAATCTCAATTAACTCTATTTAAGTCAATGAGTACAAACCTATAGCTTTTATGGACTGAAAATCATCATTATCAATTAAACCCTAACTTTACAACTAGAGAAAATGGAAAAGAAAGGGAGATTCAAGCTTTAGAAACTTACCTTTGGTGTTTTAAAACTCTAAAACACTTTAAATACTCGAGTCCCTTAAGCCTTAGTAGAGCTCTTTTATTTCTCCTTTGGTTTTCCTTTGTTTCTCTTCTATTTTGCATTAGTTTCATGATTTTATTTTTTTTAAAAAAGTGACCATTGCCATGGCACATGGCACAAAGAAGTCTTTTCGCTCATTTGCTCACATGCATTGCAGTAAATTATCTAAAAGTAGTGGCATGTGGTATAGAACCTCACATTTCAAATTTTCTTCCTCTTTCATATTTGGGTGACCTGATTTCATTCGAACCCGCATTTAAAGCTAAAATTACAACCAAACACGTTTGTTAGTCTTCTCTGGCCACACATTTAACTAAAGAACTTAATTACTCTAATTAGACTTAATTAATCAAGTTTAAATTTTAAGGATGTTATATCAACTTTCTTCAATGGCATGTAAATGTTCCCAAAAGTAGCCATACCAAACCTAAAACGTTAATGTTACTGTTAGGGTTATATAAAGGATTGGATGGTACTAAATTTCGACCTAACTTGAAGTCTATTGTCTTTCATGAAAAGGACTGGGTTAGAAAATTTGTAATCTGGTCTTGTCTAATAATAATCCATAGATTAATAGGGCCAAATTTAATCCATAGGATTGGAAGACTAGTCTTATTAGTCTAATATTCACTTAGCTCTTTTTTTTTTCTTTTTTCTCTATAAGAGGCAATAATCTGTTTCAACCTAATAAACTTAATTAAGATAATAAAAATACTTATAATCATAATAAATCCATAATAGTTTCTAACAACAAGAAAAAATATTTTAGTTACAATTCAAATGATTTAAATTTATTATTTCAATAAAAATAACACTCAACAAAACTTCAACAATAATACATTACAACATCAATTTAAAAACAAACTCAATAAATTTTCATGCAATCATTTCCTTAACATTAATTACACTTGAAGCATTTATAAAAAATAAATTAATAGGACTAGATTAGACCATATAGTCTAGATGCCTATTCTCCTGTCTTCAGTCTAACTTGAAGAAATAGCCTAGTCTTTTCAATCATTTTGGTCCTGAAGGACTAGGGTTTATATGAATTGGATAGGACTAAGCCATCTTAAGTCGAACTGGGTCGAACCAGATTGGAGGACTTTTGCACAGCCCTAGTTACCACATGCTTAAGTAAAGTCCAACTCTAGGAATTTACAATCAATTAAACGATCATTATGTTTTCCATTTGATCTTTGAAAAAAAATATCATCTCTCGTTTAGTTTCCTAAACCCTTTTTAAATCAAAACTCAAAAATCTGTGAAAGGAAACCATAAATACTTTTGGGAGAATCATTTTAATTTGTTTTTAAAAATAAAACTAGATTAAAAAATTATGGTATTTTAAGAACTAAATTATCGTTTAGGTGAAGGGTCAAAAATATCCCTGAAATACACATGAAGGGTCATAAATGATTCTAAACTTAATTATGGATCATCTATATCCCTTAACTTTAAAAAATCACTGCTCTATTACCCTGACGCAATAGATATGTTATGTAGGTCCCACATATAATTTTTTTATTATAAAATTTTTGCTTATGGGTCCCACATAACTTTCTTATATTTTTTCCTCCTTCTTTTCCACGTTCTCTCTCTCCTTCATGCATACATCTTTAAGAACCAACAGGTATCAGAGAAAAGCAACAAAAACAGAGTATGCTCCTTGTTTGCACTCTCTTTCCGTCTATTCACTCTATCTTATTTCCTTCTCTCTTCCCTCTCTCTTCCCGACTCTCTTCTTCATTTCTGCTATAGCTGCCTCTTTCTCAAGCTTTCTCTTTCCTATAGGGAGTCCTCTGCCTTACATGCATGCATGCTCTGTTGTTGAACTCTGCCTTACACATACACGCATGCACATACTCTCTCTCTCTCTCCATACACATACGCGCACATACTGTTTTGGTTTTAGAGGGAGGTGATGGAGAGAGGGGGAGTTGGATGAGGCCATAAGGGACAGAAAGGGAAGAAAGAGCTTTGCATGTGTGCATCATCTCCAGCCCATCCACAGTAGTCACCAGAGCTATCATGGCATTAGTGAGGATGATGACCAGAAGGAGAAAGGAGAGGACGAGAAGAAGGGAGAGAAGAAAGTAGAGGAGAGAGAGTAAAGAGGGAGATTGAGTGAAGGAGAGAGAGGAAAAGGGAGTGAGAGAGACATCATCCTAAACCATGAACAAGCCAAACATTGACAGATTTGACAAAAAAGGTCATGACCCTATTAGAGACAACACAAGTGACTAGAAGGACATGGCTAGCCGAGGCTGTTGAGGATGGCCTTATAGCTGAAATATGTGAGGCAATCAGTATTGCACTGGTTTGAGACACATTTGAGGAGGTCGGCGAGGGAGGGGCTACGGGAGACGAAGTGACACTAGACTTATGGCTAAGATGGAAGAGAGAGAGGCTGTAAGGAAGAGAGAGAGAGACTATATGGAGGAACGGAGGGACGGAGAGATAGGAGCTAGGAGAGATGGGAGGGAAGGAGTATGTAGAAGGCACAAAATTTTTTTAAATTATTAAAAAATATAAAAATTTTTGGTAAGCCCTATAATGCAATATTTTATAATAAATAAATATTAAAAAATTTAATGTGGGCCCAACTAACGAAGGAATTGATGGTAAAAATGGCAGGGTAAAAAATTTAAAAATTTTAACGGTAAAAAAATATAAATGACCCATAATTGAATTTAGGGTCATTTATGACCCTTCGTGTGCACTTCAAGAACATTTTTAACTCTTAATCCTTGTTGTTTCACAAATAACTTCTCTCTAGACAACAAAATCCTACCAATAGTTGATTGTTTTTTAAGTAAAAAAAAGGAGCATATTTGATAATTTTAAACATCAATATATTTCATTTTAACCTTGAAATTAAAGAAGTCATTTTGTTAAAAATTAACATAATTTAAAATATTATTCTAGACAAAAAATTAAATAGCGAGTGTTTAGTTTTGAAATGTTTGCATTTTATGGTCAACAGTGAACACAGAGAAATAAAAGTTATAAATTGCTAATTTCTTTATTTGTAAAAAAAAATCCGAAAAATCTAGTTATTTTTTGGGCTTTCTTGGCCCAAAATCGAATGTTGGGCTTTTGCTAGGTGCCATGGTAATTCCAAAATTATGACCCAAATATAAAAATAAAGGAGCAAGGGGTGCATTTTTATTTTAAATATTTTGGGAGAAAAGTACGACTCATCAGTCTTCATTGTGCCTCCATTTCAAATCTTGCTCCAACGGTCTTTTTTGTTTCTGCTCCGAAACACTGAAACTCTGCTCTCTGTCTTTCCTCTTCTTTCTGCAATTTATTATCATGCGCAAGGCAAAAGCTTCCAACCTCTCCATTGAGCGGCAAAATTGGGAGAAAATTTTTAATGGAATGGTTAACATGTTACGCTCTCAGCAACAACAGCTTTTGTCCCTCGCCAGCGAGCGCAAACTTCTTGAAGATCGCATCCGAATGCTACACGAAGGATGGGAATCTGATATTCGTCTTTATAAGGATCAAATTTCTGAGGTATTTTCTCAACTGGGGTACAATTTTAACTTTTTTTGGGCAGATTGTCCGCTAGGGTTTAAGTACATGTATTTCTTAAAATGATTTCTTCTTTTCCCTGTAACGTTTCACAGATGAAGGGAGTTTCAATTTTTGAAGAGAAGAGACGACTACTAGACGGGGCGAAAGCAGAGTTGTTGCTGGGTTTAAAGCAGAGAGAGGTTTCTATTCTCAATTATCTTTTAGGTCAGTGAAGTTTGTGGATTCTGGGGTCTGTAAGAAAAGGGGAGTCTTTTGATTCTTGATAATCCAATTTTGTTCAATATATTATTATTTAGCGATTAAACATTACAAAATAATCTTCATCGAATTAAACGTGAAGAATCCACAGTTCTTTTGTTATCAGTTCTAGTTTGTTGGTTGTCTCTTAAATTAGCAGAGATAATTATTTATTTTGATATAAAAATAATTTTTTTCTGTGTGTGGTTTCAAAGAAAAAAGTCTCTGAGTTGAGGCGTGGAGGAGGCTATGGGCTGTAATAAAACCTACACATCAATGCCCTCTGCCCACAAATCCTAATTTCGAACTATTTGCATGGGAATGAGGTTAAACTTATAATTCCCACACACCTGGAAACCTACTTAGAAGATATTTGGATATGACACATATGTTGTATATGTTCTGAATGCTATACGGATGGTGATTCTTTATATATATCAAGCTTAAATGTTTCATGTATCTATCTCCCAGTATTTAGAAAGTTAGGATACGTATATGCCAAATAAATATATGGTTGTGAGTCTTTTGGCTGGCATGGAAATGTTTTAGATTCTATCCCCATGGTATCACTTTTCACTCCTCACATGGTTTGGAGATAGCATTTATATTAAGCCCCTTTACATTATCCATGGACATTTCTTTTTCATTGCCGTTTATGGGGAATTTTTATGAATGTTGAAAATTGGGGATTGACTCTATTTTTGTCAATTTGGATTTAATTTAATCGCATCATTCTTGGCTCTGTCCTTTTGTACTTGCAGAACACCAAGAAGATGAGTTGGCAGATTTTAAAGCTTGGTTTGAATTCCTTTCTCGGCAGTTATCTGATGCAGAAGTATGTCAACGTTGCATATTTCTTGCATTTACTGATTTTTGTTCATGCAGGCATCATTATACTGACTGCTGAACATTAACTTTATTTCAGGACCAAGGGAAAATATGTCAGGATACTGGCAAGAGAAAGAAAGGAACCACAGATAGCGAGAGCAAGTCTCTTAGGAGGAAGTCTGTTAGGAACATGGCACAAGCAGAGAACTGCTCCAACGAATTGGAAGCTGAACTGAAAAGGTTAAAGCGAGAGTATGAGATTGCTTTGGGAACTAATTCTAAGGCATCAGCACTCTTGACAGAAAAGGAATTTGTATGGAACCAGTATAAAATAATGGAGAATGAGTACATGAATAAATTAAGAAGCAAACATCGTGAATTGGAACTAGCAAATGAGAAGATAGAGAAACTTGTTTCGAGTATGGAGCAACTGCACTCAGCAAAGGACGAGACTATTTCAGAGTTAGAAAGTAAAGTGGGTACTATGGAAGATGAAAGGAAGAGTTTAAACGGAAAATTATCAAAGCTCTCGGAAGAGTTAGAGGCATTAAGGAAGTCAAGTAACACACAAGTCACACCGATTTTAAATCCTTGCACAGCAAGGACTAAAGGTTCTGGCTTACGATGCAATACTGGAAAGAGTAGTAGTCGTTTCAAGAGAGAATTATCTGTTCCCAAGGCTGCTGATCCTGCAACAAGCTGTGGAAAGGTATGCCTGTTGGGTGTTTCTTATTCTCATATATCCATCTGATGTCTGGCTGATTAAAAATTCAAATATTTTCTTCTGTCCCTCTCTCCCTCTCTCCCTCTTCCTTCTGGATGATTGATATTCTTGCCTTTTCGTTACAAGTCATTACCGCCCACTTTTCTTTCTCTGTCTAGGTTAACAGAAGCTCGAAGAGGAAGAGGGGTCCAGTTATTCCGGATTCCGCGACCCCAAAATTGTTCTCTTCCGATTTCAAGATTCCAAAACTGAAAATCCTTTCTCCAAACATCAGATGAAATCTAAAATTACCATTACACTCTTTTTTTTTTTTGAAAAAAAGAATGTATTTTTGTTGTACAATCATTCTTTGACGACCCATGCTTATGTAAATTATGTATCAGCCTATAGTTTGCGACTGACTTGCTTATTAATATTTTGATGTGCGTGGTTATTTAGGTCATTTTATTGGGTGTGCGGCTCTTGCAAAATGCCAACAACACTAACCTTAAGTCTCATTGTGTATCAAGAGATTGCTTGTTTGAGGATGAAAACAAATAGTTCATTTAATTTTTGTCCTGTCACAATTTTCATGACTTGAAAGTCCACAATGTATCCACCTTAACTCGTGACCAATGATATTGCAATAAATATAATGGATGCTGATATCTAATTTTATTTAATTGATAAGCTTGGTAATAGTTACACTTGTCATGATTCCCACCTGATAGGGATCTTCCACAGTTGTCGTGTAAGCTGTCAGTTGAGCTTTAGTCACTGACTTAGTGTATTTGATTTTTAATTTACATTTGTCTAAAATTTATTTGAAGAATTTAATTATTTGTTGAATTTAATAAAAATACATTTTAAATATAGTTTGAACTTATTTTTGAGGATTTTCCAAACAAATGAAACCAAGTGACACAAACCTGTCAGAAAAATATCTCAATATTCCCTATTTTTTCTGTTCATCCCTGTCAATGTGGACGAACATTATATACATGCTCACGAATAAACAAACAGAACAGTCTCACACTGTAGGACGACTACTTGCCAGAAAACCACCATATTTTATTGCATAAAGAGTTGGATACAATTCATAGTTTCATACACAAGATAAACATAATCCAAAATATTAACTCACAAGATAGAAAATCATGCGAAGAAATGTAAAATGTTTCAAACGAAAAGCTGATATAAATCAAGGAGAATTGTCTTTTTTTTTTGGGAAGAAAATAAAAGAGAGAGAAGGAGGGGGGAAAAAAAAGACAGTGACGGTAGCACGATTCAGGGAGGTACCATTGTTGAATTCGAGTTACTAATCCTCATAGGCCTCTTCAACGCCCTCATCATAGTCATCCTCCTCCTCTGCAGTTGCGTCCTGGTATTGCTGGTACTCGGCTACCAAATCGTTCATGTTACTCTCTGCCTCCGTGAACTCCATCTCATCCATCCCTTCGCCGGTGTACCAGTGCAAAAAGGCTTTGCGCCGGTACATGGCTGTGAACTGCTCGCTAACCCTCCTAAACATCTCCTGAATTGACGTCGAGTTCCCAACGAAAGTTGACGACATCTTCAAATTCTTGGGTGGAATATCACACACACTCGACTTCACATTGTTGGGGATCCACTCCACAAAGTATGACGAATTCTTGTTTTGCACGTTGATCATTTGTTCATCTACCTCTTTTGTACTCATCTTTCCCCTGAACATTGCAGATGCTGTCAAGTAGCGCCCGTGTCGTGGATCAGCAGCACACATCATATTTTTGGCGTCCCACATTTGCTGAGTCAGTTCCGGGACAGTAAGTGAAACGTACTGCTGAGACCCCCGAGAGGTGAGAGGCGCAAACCCCACCATAAAGAAGTGAAGACGTGGGAATGGGATCAGATTGACTGCCAGCTTCCTCAGGTCTGAATTCAGCTGTCCAGGAAACCTCAAGCAACACGTAACCCCACTCATAGTCGCCGAAATCAGATGGTTTAGATCACCAACTGCAACAAACCATTAGCAGAGAAATGAATAAAACTTATGATTGATCAGTTACGCCTAATCTGAAAGCTGATCGAAGCAATTGGGGCAGGGACGAGGACAAGGACTAAGGGGATATGGTACTCACAGCTCGGAGTGCTAAGTTTCAAAGTCCTGAAGCAAATATCATAGAGTGCTTCATTGTCAAGAACCATGCACTCATCTGCATTCTCCACCAGTTGGTGCACGGATAAAGTGGCATTGTACGGCTCCACAACTGTATCAGAGACCTTAGGAGAAGGGAAAACAGAGAATGTGAGCATCATTCTGTCTGGGTATTCTTCCCTAATCTTTGATATCAACAGTGTCCCCATGCCAGACCCCGTGCCTCCTCCAAGCGAGTGACAGACTTGAAAACCTGAACAGGATATGTACAGCAACATAAGTTTGATTTTCAAAACTCCTAAATGAGATATGTGATGATGAAAATATTTCCTTGTCAGTTGCTGCTACGTAATATTCATAGAACAACACCAAGAAGGCATACCAATTACGTTCTGTGCTTGAGCCTTGAAGTTACTATACAGCAAAAATGAACAAAAATGAACAAGTCCACCATGTTACTAAGATAATGCAAATGCAGATCAAGACGTTAAAAATGGCATCCTGTTTGTAACTGAAGTTAGTTTGATATTTGATTGAAATAATTTATCATTTTTTAGTTCAATATATTATTTTGTGTAGAAAAGAAATAAACTGACAAGAAGTTATTTGGATATTTCCTCTCTCACTATCCTATTTTATCATTGATTTAAAAAAACGCAAATTTTTTTAAAAATAGTTTGAATAAGTTTTAGAAAAGTGTAACTCTAAATTATTTTATTTTTGCATGAGAAATTATTCTCAGTACAGCTTATGTAGAGCAATAAAGAAAAATTGAGTTAATTATGACCACATGTCTCTCATACACTGGCAATATTTTATACGCAGTTTATTCGCGTCCTTAGCGATGAGCAGAGGCTTCTTATACCAAGGCAATAGTTAGGGGTTGGTCTCCCAAGTCCAAATTAATAGAGTCGGACGTGTTAATTTAATCTTCGTAAAATCGCTGAAATAAATGCATCGCGTCGGTGCCGTATAAATCTGACTTTGTTTTGGGAATCACAATTCGCAGTAGTGTGGTGGAAGAAAAGCAACTATTCATAGCTATAGATTTTTTTTTGCTGATTTTATTATCGCATCAGTAAGGATAAAGAAAGGCTGTGTGGTCCCTGCATGTCCCCGGACAAGACAATAAGGGCCCTGTTAATGTTAACTGCTCAGCCTGACCGCTGAATTGATGATAAACACAAGCAATCCGAGGGCTAAAAATTGGCATCCAAAATAAAAAAATAATAATAAGACAACAACGATTTCAGAGCAAAAGCTGGTGGGAAAAGATCAGCCGAAAAGATTCCAGATCTAGTGATCTATTGTTCTTCTTTCAACCGACCTACAGATGCTAGTTTAGCAGGAAAGAATAGATAGAAAATGGTTCTTACAAAGGCGAATGGAAGTAGTTCTTAAAAGTTTTATCCAATAATTGAGGCAAAACAGTTCGAGACAAAAAAACAAGTGACCAGAGCATCATCATATCAAATGGTGTCCATAAAGGATGAGAAAAAGGAGCTACGAATTATTTAAGAATAAGAAATATAAAAACTCTTTTGTGCATCAGCCTTTCTCATTGAGGTTTTGAAATAAAGGATTAAACGATTCGGTCTTTAAGAAGCGAATGGATAAATATGAGTTGCCTAGAGCATTTTCTCACTTAAAAGCAAGATCTTATCCTCTGTTTGTCAGCAAACTCCACTAATTTTCCGTAATTGTGTCCAGAAAGATTAACAAGAATTTCACGTGTAAATAAATGAATAACATCTAATCAGATGATCAGGACTGAAAAGTCTTCATCACGCAAGGAGAACGGTGGTCAAAACTGATAAAACAATTATCATGCGCCGTAGATATAAATCGCCGTGTCAAACAGACGCAAAACTTCATCACAAAACAAGTATTGAAATCAATGACAAAAGAATGGAGAACAGCATCTATACTACAGCTGCGTCGTTGCAAAACCATATAGGAAGTTCAAAAATACTCTGCTCATGCATTTCAATATGCGATTTAATCAACCAAATTCGAGATCGAGCATATGACAAACAAGCAAAATATGGACCAAATGTTGGAAGAAGGAATAACGTCAATGTCTAAAACAAGGGAATACGGAACGGAGGAAATAAAACTGAAATTCAGAGAACCGCAGGTTACCTTGTAAGCAATCGCAATTTTCAGCCTCTTTGCGAACCACATCAAGAACTGCATCAATCAGCTCGGCTCCTTCGGTATAATGACCTTTAGCCCAATTGTTCCCGGCTCCGGACTGTCCAAAGACAAAGTTATCCGGGCGAAATATCTTGCCATAGGGACCCGATCTGATGCTGTCCATGGTACCAGGTTCAAGATCCATGAGCACCGCCCTGGGAACATAGCGACCGCCCGAAGCCTCATTGTAATAGACATTGATCCTCTCCAATCGAAAATCCGAATCGGCACCGCCGATGAACTTTCCGGTAGGATCGACGCCGTGCTCATCGCAGATAACCTCCCAGAACTTGGAGCCGATCTGGTTGCCGCATTGGCCTCCCTGGATGTGCAATATCTCTCTCATGGTCGCAGTGAGAGGATCGAACAAGGATGAGAAGAGAGACGGTTACGGGAATAGCAGGGAGGGAAGCGAAGGAAGGGAGAGCAAGAGCATGCAGTTATATGGACGAGATGAGAGAGAGAGAGAGAGAGAGAGAGATTAGAAACGCAAGTGTGTTACAGAATCAGAGGTTAAAAATGAGAATGAAAATGTGAAGCAGATGGTAAATGGATGAATATATTAGTACAGTTCTTTTTGTTTCAATGCGATTGTGCCGTTTCGATGTTGATGAAGAGTGGGGCACCCACGGTACGGGCAGCACCACCAACAAACCCAGCTCACGTTATGACTGTGAGGCCCACCTTTCTCACCATCCTACCGTCTTAACGTGCACCCTCCATACATTTCGGTGCCATGTAGTCATAACCTGATCCAAACAAATATATTAAATTAGAATTACCCATCATCATTGTCACAGGGTGAATCCCCTCAAAAATAATAAGATCGGGTTCTATAAAAAGTTAATCCTTTGAACTAAAATTTAAATTTTAATTAAAAAATGTGTTTATATTTAACCTCCGTTAATGTTTTAAATAATATTGTCTTGATGCTTGCCAGTCAGAGAAAATAATCTCCTCTTTATTTTTTTAATTTGTATTATTGGATTGGACCCCTCGCTTCCTCCAATGCAAGTGGCTAAGTCAACACTCGAGATTTCGCCCCGGGGGGGTTATCCTTAAAAAATAATTAGTGATTTTGACTGGTACGTTCATTATTCTGGTATTTTACTGTCAGAGGTGTCATTAGCTTTTTCCTCAATGAAGGTCTTTTTTCCCCTGTTACTTGTAGATTGAAGAGGTTAAAGTTGGCGGATGATCATTTTAATTAGTCGGCGAAGTGTGTTACATGATAATGGTGTCCATGTATTGCTATTAAAAGTAAATCATCACAATTCATCTCCCTACGTATATATGTGACAATATACGTAGATGATTCGATCCAGGATAGATAAATGGTGCACGAAGGATGACAGGAAAAAGCTGGTGTGCGGTCTTGCTGTATTTGCTTGTTTTATTTACAGGGTTCTTGTTCTCATGACACGACGAATCTTTTCTAATTTGACAAAAATATATTCTTTTATTAAGCAAATAGATTTTTTATACAACCCGACATGGAGAAAACTGTTAGCCAGTGCCTTCTCTGATATTTTTAGCCATCGCTGCCACTCCCTTTCTCATTTCTATTTCAGCAAACAAAACTACAATAATTCCTTGGTTAACTTGAGGCTCGGAAGTTCTCTAACGTACATTTCACTTCTTGTTCATGGTAAATTACTTAATTATTACTTGCTGAAAGAGCCAACAATTTACAATTCACGTTTTTATGGAATGCTAATAATTAGTCAAAATTTCATCGATCAATAATATTAAAAAAACATAGCATAGTTAAATTTCCTCCCCCACCCCACAACCAAGAAAAAAAAAATCATTTGAATGTGCCAAGAGCTTTTGATAAATTTTATTAAATAATAAATATAACATCTGAAAAGAGAAAGAAAATCAACTCCTACATTGAGAAATCCAAAATAATAAAGAGCTGAAAAGCAACGCCGTAGAACCAACGTCTAAAGATCCTTCTTTCTAGTAGTTGAATCCCATCCTGAATCCCCAATCCTTAATTTCTTTATATCGTGTAGGTGTCAGGAGCGTACAACTTGTACTTGTTTTGATTAATTCAATTTCATTTTAATCATATTAGGATGAATTTTGTTCCAATTCAAAAATAATCAAAACAGAATGAGAAAGGAGTTTGGAATAAGATGGTATATGAGATTACTCTTAAAATATCTCGTCTCATTTCGAATATTATATATATATATATATCTATATAAGTTTTTATTTTAAAAATATAAACTAAATATATTAATTATATTGATACAATTTATACTTATATTAATTATATCAAATATAATTTTAATACATGTAATTTTAATTTAAAATTAAATTTTTTTTACATTGATAATTTTATGGGAGGATTTTAGTTAAAGACCACTGTAGCTACTTAATTACAAGTGAGTCCAAAAAAATTTTAAAATTTTAATTTAGTTTAGGAAAAAAATGTCAAAACAATGATGAAAAGATCAAAATACCCTTTACTTGTTATACAAAATTACTCATTAATTTTCTTACTTTATATATTAATTTATCAATATTACTTATAAATTACATCTGTTTATCAGACAATTAATAACATTAGTTGTTAATTTGCTAACTTTACTAGTTAATTTACTAATATCAATTATAAATTATAAGACATGTCAGTGATTTACAAATTATGTTAGTAAATTACAACACTTGTTAATAATTTATAATTGATGTTAGTAAATTAATAAATAAAGCTAGTAATTTAACAATTGATGTTGCTGCTTACAATTGAACAACCGATGTCAAATCTTATATAATTATTGACATGTTAACTTAAATAATTTACAATTCATATTAGTAAATTAATAAATGAAGTAAGAAAATTAACAACAAGTGATTCTGCATAACAAGTAAATGATTTTTTGATCATTTCATTGTCAAAATACTTTTGACTTTTTTTTCCCTAAATTGAACTAAAATTTCAAAAAAATTTTAGACCCACCTATAATTAAGTAGCTACCATGAGCCTTAGTTAAAATTCTCTCTAATTTTAATGATGCATAGTGAGTAGTACAAGGTAACATTCTTTTATAATATATTAATATTATTAATACAACTTATTCTTATATTTATCTATTTAATAACTTTTATTTATATCGTATTTTTTACTTTATTTTTAAAAGAATAATTAACTAAATATATCTCAACTGAAGAAGAAAAATAATTACTTAATATTATATCTAACTTATCTATTATTACTGCTTTTATAATCTAAAATACGCTTATAATTACTATTATCATATATTATAGACTTGTAGTTTGTAATTAATACAATTTAAAAATTAATTTTAAATTATTGTGATTTATACACTCATATAGTTTTGATTTTAAACTAACAAATAATGTGATCTGAAATTTTAATGAATGTTATTCTAACATTTCTCCCACAATGTCCAATTTATCAAAATGGTGGCCTTAACTGATAGAAGACAAATTCAATCTCAATCCTTTTTAAGAATGGGACATGGGATAAAAATGTCCCGATCTTTTACCATGAACACCCCTAGTGGGTGTTAAAATGTGTGTCAGCATACATTCAAATGATCTGATTCTATATTAGCCTTAAAATCTTCAAGGGGGGAAAAAAAGAAATATCATTTTTTTAAGGCAAAGGGGGCAAAAACTTTAAAGGCACTTTTCTTCTCAACAAATTTTCACTTCAGAAAACTTTACGAATCACCCCAACGGATCTGAATCCTAATCTGTAGAATGTACCTCACCATGGTTAGAACGACAAGCCTCCAGGGATTTCTTCACCGATTATCAATAGTAATACAAACCCTAACGTAACTGGGGGCCAAGAAAACAAGTTGACTGACAGCAATACATTTGTACTTCCATGTGCAATACCCCTCCGAGCACAAAAAAACAAAACAAAACGTGCACTTCATCAACAACTTTACACGCTCAGATTGCCATAATATCAGGGGTGAGCAGAACATCCTACGGTAATTCTCCTTGCTATTGAAGCTGTCCCTCATTCAACTGCCTCTTGAAGTTTAGAGCCTCATCTGCCAGAAACTCACTATACAGAACATTATCACGTTAAGCTAAAACATGATGCAGGGCAAAAGGAAGGCATCACAAAACAATACTGCGAGAAATATTCAAATGACTCACAAGATCCGCTCAGCCATCGCTGATGCTTCCCATCTTGGGCTCCATGGGTAGTCAGTCAAAATGCGGGACTTAATGGGCGCCATGTAAGAATTGAAATGCTGAAAATTAATAGAAAAAATTGAACAATTTAGATAACAAGGAAGGAGCTTCAACCTAAGATCATAACATCCATAGCAAACATTACAGAATCTGTTCTCACTGAGAACATAAAACTCCTGCCAAGTAGTTTTCCTAAAATAACACATTATATTGTACAGCATTATGAACCACGAAAATTACAAATTCATTTCCACTTTCGTGCTTCTGAGTATTATTGAGAGAAGAGAAGAAACCATTATCGCCTACCTTTTAGTTTCAAGAGCATTTCCATATTAATGACTGAAATTCACATTATATCCCTTTCATGACGATGCAATAAAACAAAGTAATTCCTCTTTCTACATGCTACCATTACATTCAAACTTAAAAAATACATCGCTATACCAAATAAATAAACATACCAGTTTATCAATCAGGGTTCAGGAATCTGATTGGGCTTCTTTTCACATTTATAACAAAAGACTAGAATCAAAACACACACACACAAGTATGTCACCATAATCAATACATTGACTGAAAGAATTGTGTGTTCACGTTTTATGTTCTCATTTGGTTGATACAACATAAGCAATGTTTACAATGCAGAGGCTTATTTAATCTGTCACCTAATTTTTAGACCTTACATCGTACTCAAGCTTAAAAATTTAAATAAATCATGACCAAGACTTTGTAGTTCTACCTGAGAACTTTGAAGGAGAAGAGATGGCTGTTGCTTTGGAAACTGTGCTGGTATTAGGAAGTGTACCTACGAAAACAAACCCATCAGAATATTGGTCAACCATAAACAGAAAGGTCAAAGTCAGGCAACTTGAACCTCAAAAAATGTAGGGAAAGAATGAACAAGATATCAGTATCATGCATTGAACATATTTTACCAACAGGAAGACTATAGTCAACCACATAATTGTATAACAGTACCACTAGTATCAATGAGCATTTCAAAAAATCAATTATAAATTTCATCTTATCTTTTTCCTTTTTCCTTCATCTGATCCTCACTCCAAAAGTTATTGGCAACAACCTTGAAATCCATTTTTAAGTACAAGTTTCTGTTAACATATACAGACAGATATCATGTAATAAGAATCATATATTACCAAGAATGTGAAAACTCCAGATGCAGCAAGAAAGGTTGCCTTTCTGCAAAAGACCTAGAGATTGAAATAAAAAACCAGTCATTAATGTACCCAAACTAAACGGTTCTGGGTTTGGCAAGCTGTAATTAAAGTTCAAGGAAATACCGGATCAGCTTCAATAGGCCTCCCAAATTGACATGCTAGTGCCTCAATAAAGTGCCTTTTAACATCAATTAATGAAACAGCCTCCAAGACCTATGTTCAAGATTATATTTTATCATAATTATAGCAAAAAGACAGAAGTAAAGATAAGCAATATACATCTAAATACTGAAGAAATTTTCACCTAACCTGTTTCTCAAGAGATTCTTCAAGCTGAGGCAGATATTCTGCCAGGCACCTTTGGAAGTAGAATTAACACATAAAAGTTTCAGCATGAATTATCTCGATCTTGCAGTATTTATAGCACCGTAGAATGACAAAGGGCATAGAATGCATGGCATAAGAAGATCAAAGATGCAAGCAACTCACATTCCGTCTAACCAAGAAGGTAACTTCACATCCTCAATGGAAAATAGAGCTTTCAATTCAGGTGTAGATACTAACTTCAGGCGAGGTGCTGAAGGAGCTGACATGTATTTTCTCCCAACAGGATATATGACCTAGGTTTACCATAACATAAAATGATAAGTTGATAGCCCACAGAAAGTACTGAGTCAAAGAGAAAGTAAGGATATAAATAACAAAAGGAAAGAAACGAACCTGCAAGAATATTCTTTGAGTTTGTCTCCAGGGACATCCTGGCACCATCTTATTTATGTTCATGTCCGTTAGGGGAACAGCAAATTTAACCTCTTCTGGCTACGCTAAAATTTAAAGTCATGCAAATCAAGAACACTGTCAAAAGCTACATGACGTTATTTATAATTTTCACTGGTAAATGAATTCATGATGCCAAATTAAAAAAAAAAAAGAAGAAGAAGCCAAAATTTTGCAAAGAAATACCTTTTCAGCACCAGAACTTATCTGCATTTCTATTCCCTGTAGGAGAGAAGATGAAGTAAGTTTCGATGTTTGATTAAAGAAAAGATGATAATCACATAAGTTCAAGTCAAAAAATGGAGGACACACACCACAATAAGGTACAAAATATGACAACAAATTACATTATTAAAAGCTTAAAAGATAAAATAAATTGAAAATGAATTATACCATTGTGCTATAGTATCCACTCAACAAGAGGAAAGACAAGAACTCAATTGACATAAACTTAACTCCTACAGACCTACACAGGTCATTGTAATAACAAGCATCCACCATATAAAATGGCTGACTTCAAACTCCTCCACCCCCTCCCATTTTCCTCAGCCTTTTACTTCAACAGTGCCACCAGGTGTGCAATTAGGTGGCACTATCTTGATGATATTGGAAATGGACATCTATCGAATACAAACAGCCCCCATATCCACTATGCACATCATTCCCAGTCCTTGTCTGTTACTATTTTAAAATCATCATGCATGGAAACCTTCTAATTAAGATATGAATATAGCATGTGCTTCATCCATGTAAAGGACATAAATGGGAAACAAGGAATTATGAATTTACAATTGATTTTCTGAACGTTAGCATGATAACATTGGTATGAAGAATTACCTCTCTCGATAATATAGTGCTGATTTCAAATTTCAATCGATCATCATCAACTTCTCCAACACGCTTCCTTTGATATGATACGTATTGATCTCTATCGAGACATTAACAAAGCAAGTAAGCAACTAATTCACTATTCATGAATTCAATCAACACTTGTAAACATCACCACAAACAAAAATAATTCTCTGAAAGTTCTTGCCTCAAATATTGAATAAGAGCCAGTAAACGTGCAGGATCTTTGTTGTTCCAATCACTTAAACAGTTATTTAATGACTTTAAGTCCAACTGTCCTTCAGCAGACTCCATATGAAAAGGGTGAAAATCTTCATCTTCTAGCCCAAAAATAACATCGGGTGCAGCTGTTGGACTCTCTATGTTGTATATAACATCCCCTAAAACAAATTAATCTATCAGAAACTTGGAAGAGAAAACCAAATTAAATACCAATGGGGTTGAATATAAAAAGAACAATTGGCACAGTTTTCCTACATCTGATGAAGTCCAAGCAGTAGGGAATAACTAAAGTGAACCGATCAAATACCCCAGAATAGTGCTTGCTACCGGACCACATCTGTTCAACCTGCAAAGTAAATAGAATAAAGGATACAGAGTGATTTCCGGAGGAGATCCACTAAAATTACACACAAAGAACTGGCACTTTGCTTCCTTTCCTAACAGTAAGAAAGAAGAGAACCAAGATTCGCATATTATGTGATTCCAGCAAAGCTAAGGCTCGAATAGCAAGAAAAATAGGTTAAACAGTGACAGTTCCATAAACTGGACATTGAATACTAAAATAGATAAATGAAAGTTGAAATTTTGGATCTAAGAATCCAATTAGCCTATGTATTTTTCTTGAAAACGATATGAAGGAATTGGGCGTTACCTTGAGGGTAAGAGGGAAGTGAGAAAGAAGGTGACTAAGCTGAGCAGCGATGAACGGAGGGACATTATCTGAAGACATGGCTATTTCAGAGAAAGAGAGATCGTTTCGGTTGGAACTTGAAAGAAGGCGATCAACTTATTTCGCGACGAGAGCAGAAAGGACGAAATTTAGCCACGACGGTGGAGGCACCTCCTCCCCACGGTTTTTCCCTTCTTTTCTTTTCTTTCTTTCTTGCTTTCTAACTTTCTTCTTTCTTGGTTTGCCTTGGCCAACACCGGAAATTCCAATTCCAAGTAAAAATAACTTCGAAAAAAAACCCGCTTGGTCCTTAACCCTTTTTGTTTATTGAGGTAAGGGAAAAAAAGTTTGCCTTATTTAATGAATAATTTTAAGATTATGAAAAATAAATCTTTATATTTCTTTTTTATTAGCTATCTAATCTAATATTTATTATACATGTGGTGGTCGGCCCTGTAGACAAAGAAATTTAAATCATTGAAGAGTTTTTTTTTTTTTTTTTGGCCGAATCATTGAAGTGTTTACGTAATGCAGGGCCTCAATTTCAATCAAATCTCCATCCAATTAACAAAATCTCTTTGATTATCAGTCATTGTATATGCGTTTCACTAGATAAATAATAGGGAAAACGTATTAATGTTTAACGTTAAAAAAAAATCCTTTTTTATGCTACTTTTTAACGAAATATATATTTATTATCATTTTTTCAAGAAAAAAAACATGTTTTTCTTCACTTGTTTATTAATTATTATGCCTATTCTTATTTTGCATATCAAACCAACTCACGATTGCTTAGTTAAAAACAGCATGACGGAGAATATCAACGTACTTGTATAGAACTGTATAGCACGTTTTTCTTGCAGGACTCAACATAAGGAAAAACAATCTAGTTCAAGTTATGTCAGAATTGGATCTCATTCGAACAGTTCATTTTACAGCCTAGGAAACAATAATATCAGTTCATGAAGTTGTGCGAAGACAGATAGGGAGGGAAAAAAAATCATTAGTATGTATTTGGCAAATGAAGGATGGATAATGCTTGTCCCAATGTCCCCACATAGCATCTAATCCAAAGCCCAAACCTGCAGTGAGAAAGAGAGTTAATTGGAAACAACAAAGAATCAATCAAGATATAATAATGACAGAAGACAACAATTGAAAAGAAATAAACCAACCTGAATCTTGCCATCAGAGGAACCAACAAAAAGCATCGTACCATCAGTATCTGATACTAACGACGTGATTTTCGTGTGACCACTGGCCATTTTGATGGAAGCAACCCTGCTCAACTTATGTTTTAGCCATACCTCTATAGTGCCACATTTAGTGCCCGTAAATACAAAGTCATTGTTCATGGCCATGCGGTGGATGTCTAGTCCTGTTGAGAGTGACCCCACCACTGCTTTGGATGATAGTGATAATATCTATGTACAGAAACAGTGATAAGCATATCAGCAATCTTCTTTTAGTTATCTGTATGGAGACAGGAACATTTTGGTGTTTACCTTTCCCGCAGTTGCATCAACCAAAGAACCACCAGCAATAAGAAAATCGTCATAAATTAGAAGTGAGTGAATGGTTTGTTTTCCCAGCAATTTTCTTGTACCGGATAAAATTGTATTTGATGCATAGTTTGACAAGTCCACCTCCTGCGATTTTTTACCCCCAAAAAATTAAGGAACACAGTTTCTCAACAAACTATTGTATGAGCATTACAAACATGATAGGAAATGAAACGAAAGAGTACCTGGACACTGTAACCAGAGCAACCACAATATAGTTTGTCCCCAAACATTGCAAGGCATTTCACATATTTATTGAAATTAATTAGTTTTGGAGGATTTGACCAATTATACACCTGTAAAATCTTAAAGGCTTTAGCCATGCTTTCTTGTTGATATGGACTAGATTTACAGCTGCTCAAAGCAACAAAAAGGACTTGCCTTAGCTCCAGTTCCTTGACTTACGTAGCATGCCAATTCATCATTTGCTATCAATTCATACACTACCTCTTTGATATCATGAACTCGAATGCACTGAATCTCATCATATTTCATTATCCATACCTATATGCGAAAAGAATGTAGCAGTTTATTGTGTATTGAACACTGTAATCAACCTGAAGGACTACTTTTTTGTTATGAGACAGCAAGATAGCTAACCCGGATGGTTTTGTCCAAGGAGCCACTGTAGATTTTATCGCCTGAAGAGTAGAGGCATGTTACAGCTTTAGTGTGCTCATGAGTTTCTTGAATCAATCTCAATACCCTCTTCCTCGCATCCCAAACCTATTAAGGATATCAAGTGCAACTGTTAAGAGATAGTAAGAGACAGACGGTATGTATGTGCGCACACAATTACAATGAAAGCAATACCCTACCTTCAAAGTTCCATCAGAGTGCCCACTTAAGACCCGACCATTCACATAGAGCAAAGAAAGTACCTCTCCATTCGAGCTCAAATCTAGCTCAACGACTTCCTTACAACTCCACAAGGCCGTCTAAATTAAAGATTGAAGAGTGATGAGATGGATATTTATCTGTAATTTATTCTACTGAAACTAAATAATATCCTTATTCCATAATCCCCATTTTACTTACCACATCAACGGATTTTAAGTTCAGTAAGGCTTTCATAATGTCGGCTGCCACCACAGAATACTTCTTCAACTTTGTCAAGGTTTTATAGATGCTTTTGGCATAAGCTCCAAGTGCTTCAAGAGCAACTGAAACATTGAGCGTACTTTGCTCCGTATTCATATATATATATATATATATATATAATTACAGTAAAACCTACATAAACAGAGTTTAAAAATACATATACTTAATCGGCACTGAGAAAAACCTACTTGGATCGCCAATAAAAGTCTTCAAAGCAAGGGTAGCCAAGATCATTTCCTCGAGGTTCTTGGATGATTGGAGGATATTTATAAGTTCTTCAAGCAAGGATATTCGAGCAACATCCCTTATACCAGTATCAGGAATGGTTGAGAGCATGTGTGTGAGCCATGTGGCAATGACAAGGCATGATTTTGCCGTCTTTAAAGAAGTACTCCTGAGGCATTCTTCTAAAGCTTTAAATATGGAACCCTTTTCATGGTTGCAAAGAACAAAAGCTACCCTTTTCTGCCACGAACTAGTAGCATTTTCTTCATCCTCCTATTAAAGAAAAATTCATGTTAGCCTGGATATGTATTAAGCAATGTTAGGACAATCAATCAAAATGCTATACATAGACCCAAACCATTGTTTCCCTCGAATCATTGTCACATTTTTCCAACTGTTCAACTTTCATTAGAGCATTGTAAGGTTGGTCAAATCCTGCAGTCTTAAGCAGCCAGGCTTCAGTGTATGACTTTCCTGAAGAAGTGACATGCCCGATAAGAAACAGTAAAGCATCTAAAGCCTTAATCTGAGTATTTGAGAAGTCCTTTCGCCAAAGTGCTTCTATCAAGGCCTCTATAGCTTCTTCCCTGAAAATGCTCATCTTTCGTGGCTCAACCTAAAGTTGACAAGAATCAAATTGTATAATTAATCAGATTACAATTTTGACTTGACAAGAGAAAATTACAGCTTAGTAGTAGATTTGATGTCAAAAGGTCAACCAGGAGATCAAGCTGAAGCAAAAGACTAGCAACGGCAAGTTGATGTTCCATAGGAGCCATCTGAAGATACACAAGAAAGGTATGCATAGTACTAAATGCTCCCTCGTCCTTGATAATCTGCAATATCTTGTTGCACAGTGTCCTCCTGTGATATCATTAAAGAAATAATTAGTTACAGGTTTAGCAGTAAAAATTATTGCCTAATAAGCCTTTATCGTTTACTTGTAGAATGTAGACATGTTTGAATTGAAAAACATAGTCATAACTTGTGTGTTGATTAGTGTGAAAATTTCTAAACTTACAAATTTCTCACCTAAGATAATCGAGAGTAAATAGTTGAAGATAAAGGAATGTAATACGAGCAACAAGCTTACCTATGCAATTGCACAAGCTGTGAGAGAAACTCCACACATATCACTCTGACACTGTCATTTCCAGAATGAAACAATTCAAGGACAGGAGATAATTCAATTCTGTTTGCAATTAAGCTCCTGCAACTTTTTTCAGCTTGCATACAGCATAGAAGTATGGAAACAACAAACCTCCTTCCTTCCATCCTTTCCATATACTTAACCAAGATTGGAATTCCATTTGCTGAAATAACACTCAAAGCATTGAGGGGCCTGCTATATTCATTCCCTCCTAATAAAATCTGCTCAAGAATGGCTACAGCTGCATCTCTAGGATCAATGAGGAACCGAAGATCATCCAACTCCCCATTTTTGTTCTGGATCAGCTGGACAATGGAAGGTATAAGTTCATGAGCAGAGAGTTGATCATAGACCGGCCTCAGTTGGTACATTAGAACAGCAGCCTCAACCAAACCATTCTTAAGTAGAGTAGCCAAGCAATCAAAATCAGAATCAACATTAATCAGTATTTCTCCAACACTTTCATCCACAAAAATTAGCTCAGACAGGATATAAATTGACGTTCTCAAAACTTCTCTATTCAGAGAAGCTAAAAGTATTTCCACTAAACCATTTATAACAATTGGTTCTGATAAATAAGAATGAATCTGAGGATCACTCTTTGAGTCCTTCCATAATCTAGCTATTGCCAATACAGAATCTTCACATTCTTGCAAGTCTTCTGATGTGCAGAGACTTGAAATATAAGGTTTCAAACAATTCATAATTGTTTCAACTGCTGCTTGAGATATTACACTAGTTGGTGACGATGCAACAGAGACCTGCATAAATCTTTCGCTCCTTTGACTAATATAATCGTATACATTCTTATGAGCTGGTGAGTCAGCTGTCTTGTGCATATTAGAGACCACTGGAATATCTTTCACAGATGGAGAATTTAGAGAAACCTGTAATGTGTCTGAGTTTGAAAACTCCTGAGCTAATTCTGGATGTTGTTCTTTCCATGTTGTTATCAATCTCTTCAAGACATAGTTTGTTTTAGGTAGTATGCTTGCAGAGAGAGATTGCCGTGTGATGGGACATGTTGTGTTTCCTGTTTTGAGCCATTCCTGAATTGCTTTTCTTTCATATGTCTGACCTGTTTCAAGGGTGACAGGATCACAAAATATCTGGCCTGTGATAGGGCAAACGAAATCTTTGGGTGGTCTTGATTGAACTATACGCTTCCCCGATTTCAGTGATAAATTATTGTTGCTATTTCCCTCATGGCTCTCATAAAGGGAACTGCAGATACAAAGACATAATAGTTGGAGCATAAGGAGTAAAATGGTGATTAAATGGAATATTTGTAATGTTTTTAAATGTCAGTGATAGCATCCCAAGATAATAGGTGATCTGGTAAGATAGATATTATAAAAATTATTATTATTTTTAATTTATTTTAGATATTTTCTATTCAATAATATTGTTTAGATTTTATCAAGGTATTTAGTTATCTAGATTTAATATAGATATTTATTTTAGATATCTATATATTTATCCAGATAGTTAGTTATTTAAATTTTATTCATATATTTAGTTCTTTAGATATTATTTCATATTTTATATAGATATAGATTCTTGAAGATTTTATTCATTTTTATTTAATTATATAGTTATCTAAAATTTATTCATTATTTTAGATTGTATTTAGCATTATAAATATCCTTAGCAACTTATAAGCATGCATATCATGAATAAAACATACTTGTGAGACTTGGCTCTTTGGAGATTCTCCTAAACGTAGCTATTGAGAAAAATATAGAACGAGATTCTTATTTTATATTATCTTGATAAATTTATTTCTTCTATTTTCTTCTATCAGTTTTATATTCTCTTGTTAATATTATGAAGTTAGATTCTGATTTCATATGTTAATAGAGATTTATCTTCCTTATTTTTCTTTACTCATCTTAGAACCTACCACAAAAAGTCAAATGCAATAAAAACAACATTCTAGAATATTAAGAGGAAGAGTGGCTATTACTTGTCATTGAATGAGAGGGTATTCTCTTTCCCATGATTAATCATCTTTTCTGAGTAATGGTTTTTCCTCTGAGTGTTCTTCACACCCTATGATCCAGAGAACTATTACACAATTAAACTTGAAAAACAAGATTTAAATCCAGATGCAATGAAAAAAAGGTCACTAGTATTAATGACGAGTGGGAGGACCTAGAGTTATTTGAAACATACCATTACTTCGTTATCAGAATCTTCTGAGCTGATGCTGTGATCAGTACTCATATGTGGAGATAATGGAGAAGAGTTGGAAATACTTGAGTCTGAAAAACGCCTAGACAATAAGCGCAAAGATTTGGGTTCTCCTTTAGTGTGTGTCTCATGAATTGAAGATGAATTTTTCGAAGGAACTCTTGGAGAATCCAAGGGAGAAAAAACGGGAGGAGAATATATTTGATTCTTCCGGTTTGATTGATGTACTTTTGGCTCAATATCCACATCCTTGATATTGTTAATTCTAGGAGACACAATAGTTTGAGTTTTCCCATTTGGCTCAATGTATGAATCATTGAGGTCGTAATCCGAATCATCATACTCTTCTCCAATGGTACCCTCCTGCATATGATAGATTATTACCTGACATGCAACTAAAGGATACTGTAATTTTATATATTTAAAGCTAGATTAGCAAAGTTAGACAAGTCTCTATCACCTGATGACCCCATGTAGATGATGACTTCTCTGCCTTTTGTGAATGGCTAGAAGTCACATCTCCCCTGCTTGAAATCAAGCATAAAATGAAAACTCATACATAAAATAAGCATTCATGACATAAACAAGCAGCAGTTGGGTAAATAGTACCTGATAGTTTCATTTGCATCATCTTTAGATTTTAGAACAGGAGAAAACCCAGCACTCTTAGGCAATATAGGACCAAATTTTACATAATCAGGAATGGAGCAGCTCAACTCATGCAGAGGTGTCATGGGCGGCTCAGCAATCGGTAACATTGGAACCTTCTTGCTGGAGGATGAATCAGAGCTGATGCAATCCTTATAGTACTTTGCATAAAGCCTCGTGTTTTCATTCAATGACTCTGCATAAAGCTTCTCCAGGTTTTGCAATTTCTCTAATTGATGTGGCCTCATAGTATATATCAAAGACTCATTGAAGAATTGACCAAAATCAGCTGTAAAGGACAAATCTGAAGAGTCAGGTATGACTTCCATCATGAGCCTGTGCCTCTCCTCTGAATACCAACCTACAATGGAGCTCATGTGTGGAAGAAACAGATCTTTCCAAAGCTCTGGAGCAAAATCAATTCGTGAGAAAAAAGGGTCAACGATGAACATCTCAAGAGCATGGCAAATTGAATTTTGAATATTGTTTCGCAACTTCCATAGGTATGATAGATTGAGGTGAGCCCAAGCTGAGAGGTAGAAATTGGGCACCCCAGCAGTTTTTCGATTGGAATTCAACATGGCACACACTTGCAACATCTTCTCAGCATAATCTAGTCGGGCAATCTTAGTTTCCATATTAAAGGTATTGATAGCTTCTTCAAGGGCTTCTATACCCCAATCGAGATTTGCTAATACTGCCTGATCAGAGTACTGAACCTCGCTGCCTTTATCAATACTTTCATCTTCAGCTGCTAACCTCTCTGCACACTGTTCTTTGTGTTGGATCCTTCGTTCTTTGTTGATTAACCGATCTTGAATAAAACTATAGATAGTTGTAGTCAAGAATCTAACAATATCCCTTTGGTTCATTGTGACTCTGAAGTTTCTTGTAATCTGTGTGAAGCTATCTCAATAAATAATGCTTACAAAGTAAAATCTACACGTAGGTCACCACATCCCCGAAAGCATGCATTAAAAGTACAAGATCAGCCAAATAGATATTTCCATTGCTTTCAGTAAACAAATATAAGAATAAGAATGGAATAAAATAGAATCACTGAATTATTGCCACAGCATCCAATACTAATATTTTTGTGAAAGTAGATATGATCGTTTAATCTTCCACAACCAAAAAATATATACCTAATATCGAAAATCGAAATGGAGTAAAGTTTCTCCTCCTTTCTCTTTTTTCCCTGGGCGATTGTCATTCTCTCCTCTTGTTTTTTCTTTCTTTCTTTGTTTTTTTTTTTGGAGTATTCTAGCAACTTATGCAATCAAAACGTTGGTCATAGCCCACAGAAAATCCTCACAAAACTGAGCTGGTAAAGGAGGATTTGCGTTTTATTATCAAGTCCCTTGGAATCTTTGTCAGGATCGTAGTTATTATCAAGACTCTAGAAATACCTGACGGACGTTTGAAACCAGATATCAGAAGAAGCAGTTGACAAAATCGAATAACGCAAACCTTAATAACAACAGACTGGATCGCAGAATATTGGTTTCATGAAATTCTAGCTGCAGATAAAAGGACTTGCTCATCAATGTAACATAGCTTACGGAGCTACGCCTCCAACAACTGAACTGAAGAATTGAAACAGAGCACATAAAAAAAAAAAAAATACTTACACAGTCTAACAAATGAAGAAGAAGCTTCAGAGACGAAGATGATGCATCCAGCCTCGTCAAGCCAAGTCCAACAGTTTGACAATGTTCTACAAAGTGCGAGAGAGAAAAAACTGTAGATAGAAACACAATGCAAGGAAGTAGCTATGCCGGCCTTGGCTGTTGCTGTACAATGACACAAGCAATCCGCGTACCCACACATATAATAATGTCGAAAAGGCAAAGTTGTTTTATTCTTTTCATTGCTAAATGATTGGTCCATCTTTTATATGACGAAGACAGCATAGTCTTTCGTTTGGAACAATGGACATGCTCCCCTACAACCAGTCTATTTGACCAAGTCAAAATCTCAACGATATTCGTCTCCTCATAAGTCATAACCTCACTGATATGATATTTCGCATGGTGCGGGAGACGTGCCCCTACCTTAACCATAATAGAGGAGTGTTAATTTATTTTTCATTAAATGACAACAATTTGCAGCCACAACACGCTAATCTTTTTAATTATATAAGGCTTGCAATTGGTGGATTATTCTTTTTCTATAGTCAACTTGTTTCTTCAAATTCTAATGGTTGTTGTCTCGAAAAATTCAAACAATTGCACAGAAGGAGGATAGATGTAAGGTTGGCATGATTAAGACTTGTATTTCTGAAAATAATTATTTTCTCTAGAATAAACCTCTAAAGCCCAGACAAATCAAAAGACATGGTTGCCCCTGGTTGTAGGTCCCAGATAGACAAAGCAATCGGCACACGTGGTGTCTCGGGCAAAAAAATCTAAATCCTGCAGGTTACAATTTTCAACACGTCTAGAACCATCGTGGCAAAAATCTAACCCCACAAGGATGTTATTCAGGGAATCGTCCCTCTATATAAGTGTCTCTTCAAGCTGAGATCCTCCAGTGTCTATTGTGGGATAGTGGGATAGTGTTCACAAATTATAATCGTAATTCGACCTGTGACGTTCTTTCTGAATTTCGATCGCACCATCCGCTATGGCGAATCCTAGGGTTTTCTTTGACATGTCAATCGGTGGAGCACCGGCTGGACGGATCGTGATGGAATTGTTCGCAGACACGACGCCTCGCACGGCGGAGAATTTCCGGGCGCTGTGCACGGGTGAGAAGGGGATAGGGCGGAGCGGGAAGCCGCTGCACTACAAGGGGTCGAGTTTTCACAGAGTCATCCCGGGATTCATGTGCCAGGGTGGGGATTTCACAGCCGGAAATGGAACCGGTGGAGAATCGATATACGGTGCGAAATTCGAGGATGAGAATTTCGCAAAGAAGCACACTGGACCTGGAATATTATCGATGGCCAACGCGGGCCCTGACACCAATGGATCTCAGTTCTTCATTTGTACGGCTAAGACAGCGTGGCTGGATGGAAAGCACGTGGTGTTTGGACAGGTAGTGGAGGGCATGGATGTGGTGAAGGCGATCGAGAAGGTTGGCTCCTCCTCTGGTAGAACCTCCAAGCCTGTTGTCATCGCCGACTGCGGCCAACTTTCTTGAGCCTGAATTTTCGGTTGCAGAATAAAACTTTGCACTGCATGGAATCTAGACCGAATTTGGTGACTTTAGTCTGAGACGTTGGCCTTTGCTGTTTACCATCAAAAATAGATTAGAACTTAGAAGTGCGAAGGTATATGAAGAAGATGGATATGAAGTATGCGAGTTCGCGGCTGTAATGTGATTTCGTACCATACAACTTACAGGAGTCTCTACTCTCTGTATGCTTAGGTGTTTCGTTTAGTGAAGCACAAGCTTGATGGGGGTAATAATAATCTTGATGCTATGAAAACTGTTTTCTTTTTCTTCCTCTCAATGGAGGCTTGAGGGTACTGTTGTTAAAATTTTTTGACTTTCTTGCGTGTATGTTTTTAATTTATAAAATTACGTTAACTTTTTTGTAAATTTAAAGTAGTTAAAATTTAATTAAATTGGTAAGTTGATTTTTTTTGAATGTATCGTTTTTATATTTTTAATTTATAAAATAATGTTAATTTATTTATAAATTTATTGAATAATATATTTATATATTATATAGAACTTCGTTTATAGAAGTGATAGCATCTGATTTAATAAAAAATAAAATTAAAAAAATAAAAATTAATATTAATAAAAAATAAAAAAAAATTAAAAATAAGTTTTTCTGTTTAAAATTTTTTATTGAGTAAAATAATTTATGAATATAAATAAATTTAATTTTAATAATTTATATTTAAAATATATTTAAATTAAATTATGATTATATTTTATATTTTAATTATTTAATAATATATTTTAAATATTATTTATTAATAAAAGTAAATCTTTATAAATTTATGATTTACATTTACATTTTAATTTTACATCTCTGCCGTAGATTTACTTAACGACCTTGTTTGAGAGTGTGGGTTTCAGGTATTTATACTATATAAGTAATATGATGCACATTTGCACGTACGTACGTACTATTTATAATATTTCCCAGTGTTCAGCGTGTAATCATATAATTCCCTGCAGAGTACATTTTTTAACACACAGATTATGTAAACTGAAAGTCGGCTTGTGGAAATGAATTTTTTCAAATTTAAATATAGAACATATGAATATGTGTGAGTATCATTGTCAAACTTTTAGTTTATTGTTTTAACATTTTTAACTTATCACTGAAATTAAGTAAAATTTAATTAAATTTGTGAGTTAACTTTTTAAATCTATCATTTTTATATGTCTAACTAATAAAGTTGTATCTCATAAATTTTTTGATCAAAATAGGTATATGTTAGGTAGAATTTGATTCATAAAAATTGAAGGATCTGGTTTAATAAAAAAAATAAAATTTAATGACAAAAAGTAATATTAATAAAAGAAAACAAAAAAGTATCATAATGAACTGTTTTTAAAATTTGTTTTTTTGTTTTTTAAAACAAAAAATTTAAAAATTTGTTTGAATAAGTGTTGTTTATTTAGTTGTTTTTAAAAATTTTTTATTTTTTGTTTTTAAAAACAAAAAAAGAGAAACAACTTTATGTTGTTTTCATTTTATTTTTTTAAGTACACTAAATTTAATTATTAAAAATTATGGTTATGTTAATCAATTTTTATTATTAATTATCATCATTAACTATCTATAATCATTACTATCAGTATTTTTTAATTTTAAAAATTTTTAATTGATATAATTAAGTGAATTTTTATTTTATTTTGTTTTTAAAAATAATCTTAAAAATTGTATTACAAAACAGTTTTAAAAAAATAAAAAATAAAGAACCAAACTGGTTATAAGTTGCCTTATTTTAAAATTTTTACGTTGAGGATAATAATTTATGAATGTAAATAGATTTAATTTCAGTGATTTATATTTAAAATATATTTATATTAAACCATAATTATATTTTATATTTTAATTATTTAATTATTTATTTTTAAATATTATTTATGAACAAGGGTATGCTTTTATGAGTTTACTATTTAAATTTACATTTCAAGTTTACATCTAAATTCACAAGTTTATTGACCTTTAATGCGAGTATGCGACTATAAAGGAATGATAAAGGGTTTGTAATTGAAAAAGGTACTGCATTCTATCTTTTCCTGGGCTCACACAATTTGTCACGAGACCTTATGATAATAGATACCTTGAATCAGGGCCTTCATTTCTCTGGACGAGGAAAGATTTGAAATCTTAAAAACATCAAACTCAATTTGGGGAATTTAAAATGGTTTAGTTCAACTATAAACATTGCATAAGCCCAGCGTTATGAATTTTTTGTTATGGAGTAGCAGCACGACATCAAGGGTTGGTTTTTTTCTCATGCACGAACATATTTGAAGGGTTAATGTTGAAAATGTAGCAGTGCGTATTTATTTATAGGTTTAAGTGTAAATCCACTCTTAAATTTTTTTACAAGATACAGTTGATATACAAAAGTATTAAAAAGTGTAATGTCCCCCTTGTATTTTGAAAAACAGTGTAATGTTGTCTAATTTTAATAATATTTTCAATGATGTTAGCAAATGGCAATAGAATTGTCCTTTTTCTATTCATGTCAGCATTTCATATAAAAGTTATTATGCTAGCAATGATGTCCTTGCCCATGATAAGCTAAAATAATTGTTACCCTTGACTTTTGATATAATCAACATGGTCTTTTATTGATTTAATTTAATTAAGTAATAATTATCAATACTTAATTTGTTATTATTTAATTTTTATAATTTTTTATTATATTTTTAATTAATTATTATTTATATTTATGAATTCTATTTAAAATTGAATATTGAAATTCAATTCTTAAATATTTAGATTTAGAATTTTTTTATACTAATTACAAAAGAAAAGGTACATGCATGAGACATACAGCCTATTTGGATTGGGTGTATAATCAATTTTCGGAGTGATAAAATTGATTATACTAAAAATTATCCAAATAGCCAATTGAAATCAAAATCAACTATAATTGATTATTGAACCAGAGTAATGTTTTGAAATAAGCTCTAGGAGATCATTTATAAATTCAATTTTATTATTAAATAATATATTTTACTTCTTAAATAAAGTTTAACAAATTTAATAATATTAAATACAAGTTTATTAATAATTTAATTTTGGAAAGAAAAACCTTTTATAGTAATTTATATAGTTAAAATTAATTTTAAAAAAATAGTACTCAAACATATTGCTTTATAATATAATCAATTATAATCAAAATCAATCATATTAATCAATTAATTTTATAATCAATTATATCCAACTAAAATTCAAATAGGCCTATAATCAATATATTAATTAACCTATTTCATTCAAATTCTATATGTGTGTGTGTGTGTGTGTATCATGCATATATCATAGTCTCGTCTTATGATACTTCAAGTGCTAATGAAACTATTTTCATGAAATTTAATTGTCTCGGTTAATGAGCAATTGCACTAAAAATTTGAGTTCCTTTTGGATTTCTTTCTTGATCAATGACAATTACAGCATTATCATCATATTGTGTTATCACATTGTTGTTACATTTGAGTTCTTTACAAGTACATACAATTACAGCTTTGATCACTTTTGATATTTCTAACGGTGTATTTGGTACTGCTTCCTTGATTACATCAACAATAACATTATCAATACAGGCATATCGTTAATTATTAGTTCCTATGATTCAAATACACATCAATTCAAGAGTCTCACTATTATCGGCTTCATTGAATTGGGTTTGAGGCTAAATCATATCATTACAATTGTAATTGTTTTTTTTTCCTCCCCAAAGACTTCTTTCCTTTGATTTTAATTATCATGTTGAAATAATGAATTGAGTTCGTGTAGGCATTTTGGATGTTGCTATTACAATAGCTTTTCTAGCTATATTTTCTTTGACTCCACCCATTTCATAAAGTATTCAACCCAATTTAATGACAGTTATCTAATATTCAGGAGATCCTTTTCCCAACCTCGTGTATGTTTTTATAAGTCTTACAGTAATTGGCTTGTCTATTTTAGATGTAAGGATGGCTCCTTAGAATAAATGGATTAGTTTTTGGTTTTGATTGTTGGTTGACTTCAATGAGCTAATGCAGCATGACCACTTCATGTAACACACCAAATTTTTTTTTAAAATAATTTAACTCAACCATAGTTGGGTTACAGCCACCCAACACATTTTTATATCAATAATTTTAATATAAAATATTTTATATTTGGCTTCAACTCACACATTATAACATTTTAGATAAATTTTCACCTCTCATATGCCATTAGGCTAAATCACATTTGTCCATCCTTATACTCCCAACAAGTAAACTAAATCACATTTGTCCATCCTTATACTCCCAACAAGTAAAATAAGCAATTTAGTCAATTTTCAACACAAGTCAGTTATTTGGCCTTATAATCAAGTCATTTTAACCAATCCAAAGTAAACCAAATATTAAAATTACAGTCATCCAAATTGTACCAAAAATAGAAATAGTTTGAAAGGCATGATTATATTTATATATTCATATAATTGATAATAAACAAAAAGCCCTAATATTGGCAATATAACACATCATAAATCATAAATTAAATACCCAAAAGAGACAGTGGATCTATACCACTAAGCCTTTGGGACTCCTCCACGTGTCACTCGTGGCTCTTCTCCTGAAAATTGTTAACTTCATAATGAGACTCAAAAGTCTCAGTAACCAAAACCAATTTATGATAATGTATACAAACAATTAAGTGTGTGCTTACTAAGTGAGAATTAAAAATAATATAATTCCAACAAACATAAGAAATATTACAATACACATAAACAACCATCTTTATATCCTTCCATTAACCTCGAGCCGTAACCCTCATTCGGTGCTAAATTACCCGACCAAAGGTAGATTAGCATGAGCCCTTACAAGCCACTTATTAAGCTTCAATAGGGGCGTACCACGTGGCACATAAATACAACAATAATAGCAAGTCTCCCAACACCTCCCACAATAATCAAACAAATTCATAATTTTTTCAATAATCATCCAATTAACATGAAGTAACACTAATCATAAATTAAAAGCATGGTTATCTTGTGGCTTTTTCAATGAATTATTCCTTAAAATTTCTCTCTCACCACAATCTTCACCAATAATACAATATACAAATAATATATTATTTATAAATATTAGTTTCAATTTTTGAAACTAATAAAATAATTCTAATAATAGAATTAAAAATATAACATAATTCCTAATTTCAATCTTAATACAAATCTAGAGTTAATACTATTAAGTAAAATTTTTTTAACTCCTCTTTTAATTATCAATAAATATTAATAATCTAAAAATCAACTTCTAAACTAATTTCTATTATTAAAATTTTTTTTATTTCATAATTCGTACCTAAAATACCCAAAAATTAAAAATTGAGTCTCTAGCTTAGAATCATAATCCTATAACCATAATAATTCATTTCTCATCCCAAATAATCATCTAAACCTCAATAAATCAACATATATTTTTAGATCTAGTTTAGAATTTGATCCATAAGCCACAAATTCAAAGATCATCAACAAATTTATACTCTAGAACATTTATTATACTACTGACAACCTCAAAAACCATATTTATTCAACATAAATTCATCCCTCTTCCAGATCTTAAATTTTCTACCACCACAAACTCAGAAACCAAAGAAGAAGGATGACTAAAAAAAAATTTTAGAACACTTACTTAGTCTTGAAAAGCTTAAAATCACACCCTAAATATCCTATTAAAAACTCTTACCTTAAAAATTTAGATATTTCACACCGGCGACTCGCGTTCTATCCGCCTCAGCTCGTGCACAGGAAAAGAATTGAAGAAACAAAAGAAAACGGGTGCGTTTTTATAAAAATTCAGTGGGTTCCACATTTTTCCTTTTTTTATTATTATTATATATACGTAATGATTGCAGCACGCGGCGTCGAAAGCAAACTCGTTCTTCTTCTTCGTCTTCCCTTTTTTTTTATTCACACCTTTTCTCTTTTTTTTATAATAATAATAATTTAATAATATTTTTAATTAATTAATTAATAATTTTTTTAAAAAAAATTAATTTAGAATTATATCCTAAGTTATATTTAATAATTATTTTCTACTAATTTGCTTACCTCTAAATATTTTTCAAAATTTCTATTAACTAAAATTAACTATTAAAATTTAAATTAGGATGTTACACTTCACATCTATTTCACCTTTTTCCTTTCATTAAAACTCATTTATAAGATCTAAAAAAAAGACCTTCATTTACTATCACTGACAACATAGTTAGTGAAGCATTAAAAATATTTCAAATCAAACTTTTACAAACTCAATAGGTCATGAAATTTCAAACAAGAAAATCAAACCAAGTTTGTGAAAAAGATTAAATTGAAAATTAAGCCATGTTTGTAAACCTTTGCAAACTTGTGAGGCAGAGACATCTATGGCAATAGTGATGATTGAAGTAAAGAGAAGATAGAGCAAGAACTGAGGAGCTGATAACACATAAGCAAAGTTTAAGAAATTGAACAAGCCATAAGCATTTGGAGATTAAATTGGAAAATAAGCCAAGTATGTGAAAAAGAAATCAAATAAGCAAAGTTTAAAAATCATTAAACCCAAACCATAACAATCAAATTGGGATAGAAGGATTCCAGTCACCATCATGGCACCTGCGCCGCTTTTGCGCTTGTGTCACTGCCATTGCCTCATCCTCTGATCTCTAAAGTGATGGAGGGTTGAGCTTTCATTATTCTTTGTCCTTTGCATACCCGTGGCTTTGAAGTTCCCAAACTCATTTAAACAGAAGGAAGGGGTGACTCATGATGCTGTGCTAGGCTCAAGCCTTAGGGTTTGAAAGAGCCATGGACTAGTGTGATTTGGTTTAAAAATTTATACCTAACACGATAGGGTTTCTTCAGAGCAACATCCCTAGAAACAAGGCAGCAAGAATTGAATCGATCCAACATTTCTTGAACACGGGATTCTTCGAATTTAGCAATGCTGCTATCCAAATGACGCCAAAAATCCCATCATTGGAGCTGATCTCTGATGGTGATGTGTGGCTGAAATGAACCGGTGAAGAAGCATAGATGAGCCAACCTGAGATTGGTGAGAGGAATTATATGGAGCGTTCAATTTAGAGGAGATGGTGTAGCTTGGGATGAAGACCTGTTACTAGAGGCAATGTTCAATGAACCCTCTAGACACATCAGATGCTGATTCAATCTCACAATGCATGCCAGCAAAGCGTTCAATGGTCAAAACTCACACTTTAACGGTCCACTATGGGAGACCATCTATTTCTGGCAACATTATACTACTTCTGAAAGTATAAGGGGGGCATTAAATTTTTAGTATTTTAATATACTAATTGCTTGGAAAAATTCAAGGATTTCCACTCTAATCCTTTATTTATTTACTTTTACAACAACTATATTCATTTATTCATGCTATTTCAAATGAAAATATTAAATATTATATGGGAAAAAGAAAGGGGTAAAAAACAAGCAGTTTTTTGGGGGTGTTGTTGGGCCTTCAGGATAGGGATCAGATCGGTGACAGTGAGAGTGCCCAAATTGTCGTAACCAGGCTTGGGGTGGACACCCAACTCGCATTGAGATCGCGAGATCCAACCACTCCTCATATCCCCTTTTACTGCCTGAAGGATCATGTTTACCTCGCCGATCGCATTTCTATTTAAAGGAGCCTGGTCCCTTATCTGGTGTTATTTTGGCCGATGTGGGATGTAAATCCTCAAGCATCTCATCGTCCCACGCTTTGAAATGGGGACATAATAGTAAGGCGGTTGTTGCTTTGGAGCCCTAATTCTTTCTCCAGGCCAGGATTTTCTCTTACACAAGTCCTTGAAGGAAGACAATCAAGTTTCTGGGCATATACTAGCACTCTGCATTCCAAATGTTGCGTCCTGCTAGTTTGCTTGCACATTTCACGCTTGTCTGCAAAATATGAGCTTCTGTATGATAACCCTCCATACTTTACAGGATCCCTCGACCGTGTTCTTCTTCTTCTAATCCCTTTCTCGTTAATTTGCACTTCCCTTCCGCTTCTCCTGGCTTTTGCCAGTTCTGCCAACCTCGATTCAAAACGTTCCCTTTCTCCGCCATGTGATTTGAGACGAGGAACAGAATTATAATGGAATGTAGGTTTGTTGAAGAAGCATACGCATACACATAATTTAACATCAGATAATTCATGATTTCTCTGAAATACGATGTCTTGAATCTTGAGAACAGAAATAAGAATATGAATCCACAGAATTTTCCCCTTTTACTGGGTGAGTTAGTGTCAGGATTAGCTGGAGACTTGAAGTTCAATCAAAGTTTGATGTGATTTTTAGGAAGACGCTTAACAAGAGAGGGGAGCAAAAAAGAACTGTGCAATTTCTCTTTGAAATGGACTGGGACATAGTTAAGTGTGGAAACCATCTGTGATAGAATACGAGTCAATTTCCCTTCCAGAAAAGATGTTCATATTTAATGTCCTATCATATCTAAAACATAACTATCTTAAATAAAAAAATACTTGTAAGTAATAAAAGAAATACAAATCAATTTCCATACTCCTTTCAATCCTATACATGAACCACCTTTCTTAAAAAACTTTGTATAGAAAGAATAAAATTTTAATTATTTTATTTCAATTTTCCCTTTTACGATTTCTAATGAGTAAGGTCAGAAGTTGCATGTGAGGGGTATTAGTATTTTTAAAGATAGTTCATTTAATAAAAGTAAATTAAAAAAACTTATTTCGTTTTCGGAAAATAGTAACGATTAAAATTGATATAACATGAAATTAGAGGGATTATTAAAAGAAAACAAGTTGATTTACTATTTTTAACAAGAAAACAGCTTATTTATTACTAAACACTTGATTTAACTGTCAATGGAGTTACATCATTTTAATTAAAAATTTTGAATTCAAGCTGTGGGAATGCAGTAAAATTGGTGATAGACCTTCCACCATAAAACAATTCCAACCCGTCTCGATCCATATTTGTTGGTGCTCAGTTAAAGTTCACCCAACTCAATAAAAGACTCAGGATAGCGGGTGATCCATGGAAAGGGGCTCATTTCCCCAAAAATAAAACAAAAGAAAACAGCCTAGCCCGTTCTAATATTAATCGATGGGCTATGCAATTTGGACCTATACGAAGTTTATGTTGAGGTTTTAATTAGAGGGAGAGGAATCTTTTCCCTTCTTGAGTGGACTAGTGGCGGGTTGGTACTTGAATTGGCCTCAAGATTGACTGGACCATCAATTTCTTCATGAATACCATTCACGAAACTGCAAGGCACGTCAAGCCCTTTTTATTGCTTGGTCAAGAACTTGCAGCATCAAGTTTCAAGACGAGCAACATGATTATCCAAAATACAAACCCTCACTCCTATATCCTATAGATTGCAGGCATTTTTCATTAATTTGTAGGCGTGTTCTATACTTAAAAGAAGAATTAATCAAGTATGATGCCAAATCGTAAGCTAGCAAGCAGGCTCGCTATAATAGTACACAGGGCAGGTATAGATTAATTGATACAGTGAGGGAAATCTGTCACGATTGGAAACTACAAAAGCTGAATCGGCATCAATCAAGTAGCAATATGCTTTGCTAACAATGCCACTCATAAAATTCACATATTCACATCGTCACCCCTTCCCTATCACCTTTATATGATCTCCAATCATAATTATCATCTCTTCCTCTTGAGGTCCCAACAAAAACCAACCCACTCAAATAAATATATTGCCACTACTGTGAGTCGGCATATAATTCGTCATTCTATTCACATATATTAATATTATTTCAGGCCTGGACAATATATATATATATATATATATAGTAATTTGAGGGCAAGTGGGATAGAGTCACGAGTTTTCAAGTTTTTCAACGATGATCATCTTCAATTTCATTGATAGGTTTGTTTTCAAGTTGTGTGTGGATCGGTCACGCACACAATCACTGGGCGGTTTTCCAGCTCATTCGGTGTCTATTTTATTGGAAGCCTTCAGCCTCAAGTTTCTTTCTCAGGGGCGTCAATTGCTTGTAGGAATCTTTTTTGTCGCTGAAAGGACCTAATCATCTTCCACACTTCTCACAGAAAGGGCCACCAAAAAAAAAAAAAAACCTCTGAATCTCGCTATTAAAACGCCCAGAACACTACAGGAGAATTTACGATAACGCATGAATTTTATTGAATTTGTTTGAGTAAAATTAATACGATTTATCCACAGAATGTTTATACAGGGTTGAGAAATGTTGTCATGGAAGGATAGGATTATGTGGAGGACGTGGGTTGCTTTGTTTATTCTGAATAGGATGGAAATGCGATGAGGTCATCATATTGTGTGTTAATAAGGAGGACAGCTGTTCAACATAATTTATTTGATTATGATCTGATTTTGTTTTGTGTGAACAAAAGGTATGGAGCTTTGGCACCGAGCCCGGGTCTTTTCATACTTCCGCGGGACTTCATCTTCTTCTTTACGATTCTGTGCCTGCGCGTGCGTTTTAATTTTTAATTTTGTTTTGGATACCTTTTTAAGTTTTTTACGCTTAGAATCTAATCACCTTGCAGACTTCAGTTATTTAAATTCAAGAAATGTTTTTTTTGCTGAATATAATAAGATAAGAAGGTTAAATCCTAAAAAGCCAATTCAACAGCTAATTTACTGAGGGTGAGAAGTAAATAAGTATCGACCACGGCGCTTAGGTACAGTAAAGCGTAAAATAAATATCACCACGAGTGAGTGATCATTCCTTTTTTATTGGAAAAATCATTCTAAAATTCCAGCATTTAAAATACACTGAAATTTCATAAATTTATTAAATAGCTGTCAGATTCCAAGGAACTTGAGGGTGAATAAATCTGAAAATAAAATTACTAATTTGTCCTCTACTATGAAAAAGGAAATTTTACTTGAACGCAAATCTCACGAAACCCATGATCAGCGAGACTGAAGATTGATGTATATCCGTAATTGTTGATCACGGTAGAGTAATTTTTACTTCCCCATATCTATGATTACTGCCCTTGTCTTCATCTAAGCGAGGTGGGAGTGTTCATCCGCGACTGCAGTATCTCATCGTGCGACAGAAAATAATATAGTGATTGTTGAGCGAGTAAACGATTTCTCATGCGTTAATGATTTCATTATTTTTTAAGGGTAGGATAATGCTTTCTGGGTATGCCTACGATCATTTGATTTGCATACGTAATGTGTATGGATTCATCTGGTGCGACATTGATACGTTGAAAAATATCTTATATGAACAACTCTACATGTTGTTAATAGTGTATTCTTGTGTTATGAATATGCTATCGATAGTTGTCGATACATTATATTGTGCAGGATGACTTGTAAGAATGCTTATACCACTGAAAAACATGTATTACGTTATGTTTTTTTTTCATATAAGGGACATTTTATATATTATTCTCAAGCATGTAATGCAAGCTTCTTTTATTGCAAAATCTCTATTACACCTCATACGACTGACTTGTAGTGCAGGATGATCTCTATAAAAAGAGGATAGAAATCTTGTGGTGGCTATTGAGTCATTGTAACAATGTGAAGGAGCACGAAGCCATGCCCTTGTTAGAAAGATCCTATGAAAGGAAGAAGAAAAAAAATAGAAGATTATTGATAGAACTTTAGGATATAACTTTATTAATAATCATGTCCTTTTATATAATTAGCTTATTTCATGTAGTTAACTTAAACAATGTTATTATGAATGGTGATTACAAGTTTGTAAATATGGCAAATAGTTTGTTTTATTAATTAAATGTTTACAAGTGGCCAACTGTGATTGACAAGTAGTTTTCACTTTATTGATAAGCTATGCATTCGTTATTGACTAGTGCTGATACATTAGATATTGTTATTCTCTTTAAAAATCAACAAACTACAAGAACCTGTTGATTACTTGCCGTTGGCAATTGACAAGTGGTTATCACTATATTGACAATCTATGCATTCAGTATTGACAAGTGCTAATACATTAAGTGTTGTTATTCCTTTTAAAAATCAACAAGTTATAAGAACCTGTTGATTATTTGTTGTTGGCAATTAAGAAGTGGTTATCACTATATTGACAAATTATGCATTCATCATTGATAAGTACTGATACATTAAATACTATTATTCCCTTTAAAAATCAACTAGTTATAAGGACCTGTTGACCACTTGTTATTGGCCATTGACTGCAAGTGATCACTATATTGACAAGCTATGCATTCACCATTGACAAGTGTTAATACATTAAGTGCTGTTATTTCCTTTAAAAATTAACCAGTTACAAGAACCCATTGACTACTTGTCATTGGCCATTGACTACAAGTTATCATTATATTGACAAGCTACGCATTTTTAATTAACAAGTGCTGATACATTAAGTACAATAATTCCCTTTAAAAATTAACCAGTTACAAGAATCGATTGACTACTTACCATTGGTCATTGACTACAAGTTATCACTTCATTGACAAGCCATGCATTCTTCATTGACAAGTGCTGATACATTAGGTACAATAAATAAAAAAATAAATTCCAAATACATAAACAAAAAAGTACACTTGTCTTTGATATTTTCTAGCATGGATTAGGATTTTTGCATAATGATAAACACTTTTGTTTTGAATTTGAGATTTCCTTCTCTTACGCTTTAGCCTACCCGAAGGCCTTATAGTCATTGGTAGCTTCAAGCATGTTTGGGTTAATAAATTTGTCACCGTCAATGCTTATAAACATGGATAGTCATGTGTGGCCACCGGTCTTATGTTGTTGGCATATATCTTTTGTTGAGCGATAAACTTATAACATTCATCCACAAAATTATACATATTATCATAAACTAGCTTGATTGCTGCACATGTATGCACATAAGGTATTTCACTCATTTGCCATGCTAAACAAGAGCATGTATGTGCTACTCGTTTGATGATATCATTCTTGTCAACTCTTTATACGTTGTCCATTCCTTTATTGTTCTTGTTCTAGCACTCCCCCCAGCATATTGCATACTTTCTTGGTCATAATTTTGAAAATGTTTTCTATATGAAAAAAATATAATATATGTTCTCCAGAAGAACTTACCATTTTACAGATCAACTAACACCACACATAGTATATTGACAATTATATACAGCATAATGTCAACACATTTATCCACTATTGACAAGAAATAATGTTGTTTCATAATAAAGATTTTGCAATAAAAGAAGCTTGCATCACATGCTTGAGAATAACGTATAAAATGTCCCCTATATGAAAAAAAACATAACATAATACATGTTTTTCGGTGGTATAAACATTCTTACAAGTCATCCTACACAATATAGTGTATCACAATTATCGATAGCATATCGACAACACAATAATACACTATTGACAACATATAGAGTTGTTCGTATCAAATATTTTTCAACGTATCAATGTCGCACCAAATGAATCCCTACCCATTAGCTATACAAATCAAATGATCGTAGGCATACCCAGAAAGCATTATCCTACCTTTAAATAATAATAAAATCATTAACACGTGAGAAATCGTTTACTCACTCAACAATCACTATATTATTTTCTGTCGCGCGATGAAATACTGCAGTCGCGGATGAATACTCCCACCTTGTTTAGATGAAAACAAGGGCAGTAATCAGAGATATGGGAAAGTAAAAATTACCCTACCGTGATCAACAATCAAGGATATGCATCAATCTTCAGTCTCGCTGATCATAGGTTTCGTGAGATATGCATTCGAGCAAAATTTCTTTTTTAATGGTAGAGAACAAACTAGTAATTTTATTTTTAGATTTATTCACTTTTAAGTTTCTTAGGATCTGATAGTTATTTGATAAATTTATGGGACTTCAGCGTATTTTGAATGTTTTCATGAGACTTTAGAATGATTTTTCCTTTTCTATTTGATATGATTTTTACCATTGACTTTCAGGTTAATTAAAGTGGTTAGCTATCTTGTTCTTGACATAATAATGGACTTCATGAAGGGCTCCCCGCAATTGAACGTAGAAAGAGCCTGCTAGGCGATGACTTGTATTGAGCCCTGTGTTCTTTATGCTTAACTTTCTTTTATGGTACGGGTGATGCTGTAACTTTTTATTTAAAAGATGTCATCTGTTATGGATAGATATTGACATGTGTATCGATATAAAGATCAATATTTTTGTTTTTTAAAAACATAAGATACAATATGTGTATATATATTTATAAAAGATTATAAAAAATATAATTTTAATTCAGAAAATATCTGAACCAATATATATGTATAATCTTTTTATAGTAATATCAAGAAAAACGTAATTAATAATTATATTTTTATTTTATCTATACCTAATTACCTACTATCTGGCCCCTACTAATATGTATAGCATTAATATTTTCTCATTCTCAACCATTATCTGAAAAAAAAATGTTAACTTTTTTATTTGGTTTATCAAGAAATAAGTTTGCCGCTCTCAAAATTTCAATACCATTAATGTCATCTTTTCATTTATATCCACTGATATTTCACATCTTAGATTTCTCTTGTTTGTGTTCTTCACTTTTCTTAGCTAAGAGTTGCAAATTAAAATGAACATAAACCAAATCTTCTACTATTTTAAAATTCAACTTGTTTCTTTTTATTAAATGAATGAGTTAGCAAGTATTTCATTTCCTTTTACAGCACGATGGAGAGCAAGGCTACACAAGAAACTTGTTTCTTTAAAGTATCAATTTATAATTTAAAAATATTGGATATGAATTGAAATTAATTTTTTTAATTAAAAAATAATATTCTGATACATATCAAAGAAGTATCAGTATTATTAACAATTAATCGTGCATGACAGGAGAAACATTATGCGCAGCCATTTCAATCATTATTAGTTGCCTAATAACTCGACTGTGAATCATAATTAACTTGATAAGATGCACGCTTCAGCTGATAATCTCTGCTAGAAATACTTCACCCCATCGTTATTTTACACACGTCCCTTTTTGTTTTTCTTTTTTGACTGATACACAAACACACGTCTGAAAAGCATATCTAAATTAACATGTCTTTAATTAAAAAAAGAATCATATTTTTATGAAGAGTCCTTGAGACATACGTGTTTGGCGTCATCAATAAAACGACACCATGCTAGATACAGATTTAACCTTCAAAGTCTACATGCAGAGATTCAAATTATTTGCAAATTTCACATTATACATGATATTTTTGAACCCACCTGTCTCCTCACTCAGATATCTTAAAGGGTCATGTATTTTCAAAGAGATAATCTCTGATTTGATTTATTTGAATATAATCTGAGTAGTTGATTTCTGGCGTGACTGAAGGGAAAGAAAGCCTAATTCCCCGTGAAGTACGATGGAAACAGAGTACCAAAGTAGTTCAACAATGCCATGAATTTTCTGATCGCATTTCGGGAAGGTGAATCTGTACTCAACTATCCTACCAAATAATCTCCCTTTCCAAATTACAACTACTGGATTCTTATTTTAATATTAATTAAATAAAAGATAACTCTGATCCCTGCATTTTATTTACATTTTGTTATAAATCTTTACATTTTTTTTATATTCTAAATCCTTGTATTTTTATTTGTTTTATACGCTAAATCCTTATAATACTGTTCATAAAAAAAATTTAAAACATTAAAAAAATAAGGGTTTAGAATATCAAAAAACAAAAATATATATATCTAAAACATTGAAAAAAAAGTGCAGAAATTTATAACAAAACTCAAATAAAAGGCATGGACTCAAATCTATGTTGTTTTCCAAAAATATACCCAATATTTTAATTTTTAGATCAAGTGAGTTTCTGAAAAATGTTACAGTATGCATTATACTGTACATATTGAAAAATTGCGTGCTCATTTTGTTTAGTATGCCACATGACCCACACCTGCATATTTTTTATGCAGACCCACAATTCGCCCTTTTCCTAACTGCGTGAGTTTCAATCAAAAATGTCAAAACGGTACTATAGAACTGCAGGACCATTTAGGCAGCGATTACAATATACTTTCTCAGATTTTATTTATAAAACATATTTTAAAAAATTTATTTAATTTTATTTATAAATTATGATACAATTTTTTTAAGTAATATTTAAAAAATATTTTTAAAATTATCCTTCATAAAAGAAAAAATAATATGACATCATTTTTTAAATTTGTTATATAAAAATATATTTAAAATTTCATATATTTTTATTTTTATATTTTTTTATATTAATATTAATAAAATTAATAATATTGACTCATATAAAAAAATCAAAAGAGTATGAAGGTAAAGATTCGTGCTTACAAGGTTGACCCTGAAGCATATAGATCATCTCCCTTTGAGAAGCAACATAAACTCATCACGCACGCAACAAAACGTGTCGCTGCTGAAATGCTAGCGAAATAAGACTTGGATTTTCGTGCTCTATTAATTGTACACGCATTAATTTGAGCTTGTGAAAAAAATATGAAGTTGGCTTCCATCGCTGAGGGCAACTTTCAATTTAAATTTAATATTTTTAATTTTTATTTTAAAAATAAAAAAATTTAATAAATATGTTTACCAATCTGATGGTTCATATTCAATATAAATAATTTAAATTTAATATTAAAAATTAAAATTAATTTTTTAAATATATTCTAGACAATATAGATATACTATAAATAAGGCAATAAATTTATTAAAAAATTTTAATATTAAATTTGAACCATTCATATTAAATTTAATTGTTAGATTGATAAACATAATTATTAATTTTTTTATAATTATTATATATTTTTATTTTAAAAATAAAAATTATAAATATTAAATTTAGACTATTTAAATTAAATGTGAATCATCCAGATTTGGCTCTCTCTCAGTGAAGAAGGAGAGGAGGCTTTCCTGAGTTGACTCCAAAAAACTATGGAACTTTTGTACTAAGATGAAGTTGCATTTTTGGGCTGTATTCACTTTATACGGGGAAGAATCTGAATATCAAACTAAAAGAGGAAAAATTAGGATCATTTTTGAACGGCTCAAATATATATACACATAACACAGAAAACACTTGTATTTGATATTCAAAATCCTCTAACTTCTCTCTTTACCTCGAGTATCTATCTCTGTCAGCAATTGTTGGGATGGAGATGTGAGAGGAAGAAAAGAAAAGGAGGGGTTGCGGCCGAGGCTGCCAATGCTGTGGGAAGATCATCGAAAATTCAACTCGCTTTTCAACGATCAATTAGCAAGAAAATCGTTTTCCATTTGTCATTTGTGTGGGTAACAATATGATTCACCCAACATAAGGGCAGGTGGCCAAAAGACGAACAGAACATGGGAAAGAGAGGAACGTTACTTGTCAAAACTATAAAAACTTATAAAGCATTGAATGACTGAATTACTGACCGTTACTCTGACTGCGAGGCTTTTTTTATCGCACTGTGGAATTCCCACCTCTGCTGGGACCCCAAGTGAAAACTGCGGCAAAATACTAAAATCCGTATTTCCAAAAGAGCCCATCAATTTCTTAAAAATTTCATTTCAATGCTTCACTGTCTATAAATTTGCACTGCTGAACGGCTAAACCCATCGTCCCCTAACTGCCACAGGGAAGACGAATTGATATCTGGCTTTCTAGCTTCATCAGCCACTATCCACTTCTTCTTCTTCTTCTTCTACATTATTCATTATTTCATAACAAGATTTCATTTCATCCAAATATATGGAACGGCCAACAGTATTGTTTTCATTTCTTCTAACGCTTCACTTATCTGTATCAGGTAATTTTGGCTGTGGCATCAAAATTAAACAAACAAATTTCTGATTTCGTTTATGTTCTTTTCAGCAAAGATGAGGTTTAATGTAATAACGTGGGAACACCGTTTGCAGGGGTTTTTTCAACGACATTCACCATAGTTAACAAATGCGGCTACACAGTATGGCCGGGCATCCTTTCAAACGCCGGCGTCACTCCTCTTTCTTCCACCGGTTTTGTTCTTCAGACCGGCGAGTCTAAGACCATCTCCGCACCCACTTCTTGGGGTGGCCGCTTCTGGGGCCGAACTCAGTGCTCCCAGGATTCCACCGGCATGTTTACGTGCGTCACCGGTGACTGTGGCTCTGGCAAGATGGAATGCGGAGGGAAAGGAGCCTCCCCGCCGGCGACGTTGGCGGAATTCACTTTAGACGGAGCCGGAGGGCTTGATTTCTTCGATGTAAGCTTGGTAGACGGATATAACGTGCCTATGATGGTGGTTCCTCAAGGTGGTTCCGGTGACAACTGCACGAGCACGGGCTGTGTGTCGGATCTGAACGGCGCGTGTCCCTCAGAGCTAAAGGTGATGAGCGATGACGGGAGGGAAGGGGTGGCATGCAAGAGCGCGTGCGAGGCGTTTGGGTCGCCGCGGTACTGTTGCAGCGGCGCGTATGGATCTCCGAACACCTGCAAGCCATCGTCATACTCGCAAATATTCAAGAACGCGTGCCCACGCGCCTACAGCTACGCTTACGACGACAAGACAAGCACGTTCACATGTGCGTCTGCCGATTATACCATCACCTTCTGTCCATCCCCAAACACCAGGTTGGATTTCGATATTTTTTTTATTAAATAATTAATTAATGGGCTTTTATCGGCAAAAAGCTTCGCTTGGGAAATCGGAATCGGAATAACTGGTGAACGTTGTGGGCGTGGGTGATTCATACTTCTGATTAAGCGACACGATAACGAGTAGTGTTTGGGAAATCGGTTACTCTACCGGGCATTTGTTTTTTTGGTTTTTATTTGTTGAGCATATGTTTCTGGGCCCACCAGAGAGAGGGATCGTATTCTTACCTGAGTGAGGGTGAGGCACACTGCCCTAGATAGCATTACTCCTCACGAATCTCAGCGCTGCATAATAATGATATGATATTACTTGAAGTTAGAGAATTACAACAATAAAATAAAATGCACATGGGGTTTTCTTCACTTACTGTCTCAGGGAAGCATTGTTTATTAATCAGTGGGCGATGCCCCAATTTCACAACCGTTATGACAATGGCATCGTATTTTTTGTTGATGCGTGAATTGCAGTCAGAAAGCATCACAAGGACAGAGCACAAACAGCCCATCTTTTCCGGCGGCTCCGAGCTCGCCGACACAGGACATAGACGGCCCCAGCATGGTGTACGTGGGTGCTGCTGCTTTCGATCAAAGCGAGATATCGGCCTCCACGTGCATCCACGTGTTCGAATCCCTATTCCTCGCCGGCATCATCATCGTATCAGTGGCTATCCGGGGATTCTGATACTAATATAATCAAACGATTGATTAGCCAATACATGTACATCAGTAGAAAGAAACCGGCAGTGTGAACCAGGACCTCCCCATGTCGGCTCCTACTCCATCTTTTCTTTTCTTTAAAATGTTCTGCCCGGTCCGGCCCATCACTGCACATCCATTATCTGTGTCAGTTCGGCGGCATGGGCCTTTAGAGCTTTATGGGGGCCCACGCTGATGACATTAACTTGTCAATTTGGACACGCGACACATGACCTTCTTTTGTCGTTGAATCCCAAAAGCAATTCACGTTCAGTGTCGGAGGTGAGCGAAAGTGAGGGGTGAGGGAGAGAACAGAAAGGGGTATTTATTATTAATTTGTTTGCTTTAGATATAATAAAAATTGTAGTCCTCAAATTTATTTTAATTAATTTTTAAAATTTAATCTCGGTTCAGTCAAGTGCCTATAAATATAATTAGTCATTTTGGCTTGCCCAAAAAAATAGAATGACTAAATTGTACTCCTTCTATTAAAAAATATAAGGTATTTTTAAATAAATTTTACCTTTTAATAAAGTAGTTATCTACTTTTAAACTAATATTATCTTTTTTATATTTATTTTTATTAAACATCCTACAATAAATATAAAATAAAATTATTTATCAATAGGGACACTTTTGGACAAAAAATAATGATTACACTTAGAAAGATTAAAAATATTTTATATTTTTTAACATTTAATTTTTAAAAAAATATTTTATATTTTTCAACGAAAGAGTATATGATTATAAAACTCTAGACACTTCATTGATAAAGAATAAATTTCAAAAACTAAATGGATAGCTGAATAAATATGAGATTAAAAATTTCATGATGTCTATATTTTATTATGATTATTATTCTAGCTTTAGATTTAGATATGTGGAGCATAATACCGCGGGCGATGGGATTCATTTTATTTAATCTTTAGCTTCAGAATGTATATGACTCTATTAAATCTTTAGCTACAGGAAGAGATGTGGTATCTTTGTGTTTAGTCTATTCCGCAGGCAATGTTCTATATTACGGCTCAATTTGTCGGTATATACGCTGCAGTTTTGTCGGCGACGATTGGGAAAACGCACCACACATGATCCGATAACATAAATTAAGCTCCAGTTTACGATATTTAAAGATGAATTAGAAACAAAAGAGCAGTTGAGAGAATGATTGGCAATAAAAAGAATAGGGTACTTTTCCACCTTACTTGCAAAACTAAAATGTAAATTTCATGAATAGAGAAACAAAATGATGAGGTGTGAGACAAGACTGAATGGCCACTGTGGATGCACTGATCAACGTCTGGTATCATTTTTAAATTCATTGACGTCACATCCGCAACAGTAGTGCCCTACTTCGCTGCATTTGAGTGGTGGAAAGTCACGATTATAATCGCAAGTCGCGACCAAGCCGTTGTTATTCTCTGCTTTATTATGCTTATCGTTGAAGTATTGGGTGGTTGAATTATTGAGTTCAAAAATGGGCTTATCTCAATGCATGCCATGGACGCTGTTCCCTGTCTCGTCCGCCATCGCCTGCTATTTGTCACTTCATTTATCGAGTTTGACCCCATCGCGCTCCATTATGAGTCACATGACATGAAATTCTTGCCGGACAATGAGTCACGTGAAGTTGCTCGATGGCTGAGTACCCAATAGATTCCCACTTTGTGAGATGATATATTTTAGTGACATGAAGATGTGGGGAACACAGGATCAGAGAGGTGTGGTATGTGAAAGTCGAGTTATGAAATGTCAAACTTAATGTGTGTTTAGTTATTAATTTTCACATGATAAAAGTATGTTTGAGAGATTTAAATATTTATTAAATTTAATAAAAACACATTCAAAATACGATTAAAATGTGTTTTTAAAAGTTACCCAAATATACTCGTAGAATAGGTCTGTAATATGGTCACGTTGGTTATTATTGCCGCTATGCACTATCTATTTAATATTACAATGGCTCCATTGTGTTTCCCACAAAAAGGGCCGAAGCTCAATTAAGTTTTGTCCCGTATGTCTCTTTTTCCATTTTTTTAAATGAAAAAAAATGTTAAAATCATGATTACCACCTAGGCAGCGTGTTCTTCCATTTTGGCTTAGGTGACAATCACACGCACCGAATTACTAAACAGAGCCAGCCTTTCAAAGTTTCAATGGGCTCCTTTGTCAGTGGGTCCCCAATGGCGTGAGACACACTTCAATATTTAAATTTTAAATAAAGGCAAAAAATAGGATAAGCATATAAGTGTCAGAAGTGGGATTTGAACCCACGCCCTCTCACGAGGACCAGAACTTGAGTCTGGCGCCTTAGACCACTCGGCCATCCTGACTTGGGTCACGCTTTTCGTTGTATACATATTTTTACTACTTAATCAATTCTCTTGAAATTTTAGATTCAGTATTCTTATTCTTATTATTAACATGTTTATTGAAATATGAATGTGTAAAAAATTTTATAATGAATTTAAAATTATATTTTATTTACAGAACTTTTACGCTTGCTTATTATTTATTATATTTTAATGATAAATATTAAAAAAAATTGTGAAAATTTATGGTGGCTAACAAAATCTACAAGGAAAGTAATGACAGGAAATTATTTGAATGTAGAAACTTAAAAAGAGAATTATATTAAAGTCTCACACAATAAAATTAATTACTATAAGATTTAAGAAAATTAATTACAACACAATTAGTTATCAATTTTTTAATTCAATTATTAATGAATCTTGTAGTAATTAATTTTTTTATGTAAGACTTAGATGTAATTCTCTCAAACTTAAACATGTGAAGAACAGTTAACAGAAGAGAAAAATGTGACGAGAATGCTAAAATAGTTTCGATAGAGTATTTGAAAACTGTCTTGAACTCAAAGTCACAAGTGAATTCTTTTTTTTTTTTTTTTAAATGTAAAACTAAGAACAATGCATGACGACAAATAATGGAATGAAATGCACGGACTCTACTTTTGAGGCCAACTACATGAAATTTTAAGTGTGAATAAACAGGCTTTGTGTGAAAGCATAATCAATCAATATCGCCATGGAAATATCAGAGTCCGAAAAAGTAAAAAGCAATTAAAAACACACTTGAAAATCAAAGGTGAAAGTTGCGACTTCGAAAGAAAAAAATTGAGGCAGAAAAAGAGAAGGATCGAAGTTTTTATAGTCATTAATTATAGTGTAAATAAGAAGTTAGTTAGGTTCCCGATAATCACTAACCAGTGCTAGTTTTAGCATCTACTTTCGTCATTTTTCAAAATTTTATGCATGCCACCCCAGCACGACTCTCGCATTTTAGTTTTCTGTGGTTGCACGACACCTCAATATCCTTATTTTTACAACCCACGATGTCGAATATTAGCTACTTTTTGACAATGAAACAAACAGAATTTTATAAACGAATTAGATATGCTCTGTGTGTAGTGTGTCTAGTCTTCTTTTCGAGGAGATAACAATTAAGTTCTGTAAATGGTTATCAAAATTCTGTCAATCCCTAAATTATACAAAATAGAACTCAACATCTTCCCGCTATATCGACATATTGGACCACACAAGTCCTCTCCATTCTTATTACCAACTATTTGATTGGAGTGTCCTCTAACTCGTCGACCTTCTGTTACTCATCCTCCTTGATTGCTTCGCTCTCTCTTATAACTTAAATCTTCAACTCTTTCCTCAACGAAGGACGCCATAATTATGCTGTTGCTTAATTGCTCTGTTTAAAGTTTCTAAGGAAATCTCATGAGTGGACTGCTGGTGACTGGTGAGCCTCCCACCAGAAAAGGAGGTTCTGTGTGGTTATTTCGATTTTGGAAAATAAGTGATTGCTTTGCTTGGCTTATAATCTTAGCAACAAGGTGGCTAATCGTCGGTCGCTCAACTTTGCGGCAATATCACGCGAGGCTGCCTCTATAACATTTTAATTTAAATTTTAATAATTAATTTGAGTTAAGAAAAATTTTAAAAATATTTAAAGGTGAGCAAATTAGTAAGAGACGATTATTAAATCTAACTTAAAATATAATTTTAAATTAAAATTTTAAAAATTATTATTATTATTATTAGGAAAGAAGAAAGAGAAATGTAATAGAAAGAGAGATTGAAAAATAAAAAATATAATATACATATATATATGAATTAAAAAAATATAAAACAATGGAGAGGTGGACGTTTTGCTCGCACAAGTGTATTGTACATATACATACATACATACATACATTCATATATATATATATATATATATTAATAAATATAAAAAAAAGAAAAGGAGGGGGCGGATTGCGTGCAAGTACGTAGACATATATATATTAAAAAAATAAAAGAGAAATGAAGGCAAACAAAAAAAGGTCATGGGACTCACACCTTTTTAAATATCCCCCACCTCTTTTCTTTTCTCATTCTTTCCGTCTAGCCTTTTCCTTTTCTTGCGCGTGAGAGCAGAGATGAAATAACGCGAGTCGCCGGCAAGAAGGGATCTGAGTTTTAAAGGTTTGAGTTTCTAATAGGATATTTAAAGTGTTATTTTAGGCTTTTCAAGACTGTTTAAGTATTCTAAAATTTTTTTCTTAGCCATCATTCCTCTTTGGTTTTTGTTTTTGTGGTGGTAGAAAATCTAAGGTTTAAAAGAGGGATGAATTTATGTTAAATAAATGTAATTGTTGAGGTTGTTAGTGGTATAATAAATGTTTTAGAATATAAATTTGTTGATGAGCTTGGAATTTGAGGCTTATGGATCAAACTCTAGGCTAAATTTTTATTAAATCTGAAAATATATGTTAATTTATTGAAGTTTAGATGATTATTTAGGATGAGAAATTGATTATTATGGCCATAGAATGATGATTCTAAGTTTGAGACTCAATTTTCACTTTTTGAATATTTTAGGTGCGAATTTATGAAATAAAAAGAAAAATTTTGATAATAGAAATTAGTTTAAAGGTTGATTTTAGTTTATTAATGTTTATTGAGGACTAAAAGAGGATTTAAAAATTTTACTTAATAGTATTAACTCTAGATTTATATTAAGATTAAGACTAAAAATTATGTTATATTCTCTAATTCAATTATTAAAGTTATTTTATTAGTTTCAATAATTAAAACTAATATTTATAAATAATATGTTACTTGTAGATTGTATTGTTGGTGAAGATTGTGATGGAGAAAAATTATAAGGAATAATTTATTAAAAAAGTCACGAGGCAACCATGCTTTTAATTTGTGATTGGTATTGCTTTGTGTTAATTGGGTGACTATTAATAAAATTATGAATTGTTGTTGAGAAATTATCTTGTTATGTTTATAAAAAAATTGTGAAATTGTGGATATGTATTTTAAAGTATTTTTGCCAAGTGGGATGTCATATTGTAATATTGTTAAAAATAAAAAAATTGTGAAGATTGTAATATTGTATAATTATACAATATTGTTATGGATTTATTTAATTGTTGTGGGAGGTGTTGGGAGATTTGTTGTTGTTGTTGTTGTATTTATGTGCCATTTGGTATATTCCTATTGGAGCCCAATAGGTGGCGTGTAAGGGCTCAGGCTAATCTACCTTTGACCGGGTAATTTAGCACCGAGTGAGGGTTATGGCTCGAGGTTAATGGAGGAGATAAGGATAGTTATTTATTATGTATTGTAATATTTCTTGTATTTTTGTTAGAATTATATGGCTGTTGTTTCCCCACTTAACAAGCACATATTTAACTGTTTTATACACTATCATAAATTAGTATTGGTTACTGAGACTTTTGAGTCTTATTATGTGGTTAATAATTTTCTGGAGAAGAGCCATGAGCGGTGCGTGGAGAAGTCCTTGAGACTTAGTGGTATAGATTCATGGTCTCTTTTAAGTATTTAATTTATAATTTTTAATGTGTTATATTGGCAATACTAGAGCTTTTTATTTATTGACAATTATATGAATGTAATGATGTAATCATGCCCTTCAAACTATTTCTACTTTTGATATACTTTGGATGACTATAACTTTGATCTTTGATTTATTTTAGATGGTTTGAAATGGCATAATTATGAGGTCAAATAATTGGCTTGTTTTGGAAATTGATTGAGTTGTTTATTTTAGTTATTGGTCTATGGTTTGTACTTGTTGGGAGTATAAGGATGGAAAATGTTGTTTTAGCCTAATGACACGTGGAAGGTAAAAATTTATCTGAAATATTGTATTGTGCAAGCTTAAGCTAATTATAAAATATTTTTATATTAAATTTATTGATATAAAATGTGTTAGATGGTTGTAACCCAATTATGATTGTAAATGTATATTAGTTGTATAAAATTGTTTCGTATTATTTAAAAAAGAATTTAATCTTTTCTACTATGATAGTTAATTTTAAAAAAAATATTTTATAAAGTTATGTTTTATTATTTTTTATCATACTAGTGTTTTAAATTATAGAATTGTTTTAAAAAATATATAAGATAAGTTAATTTTTGTTTATTATAGATACTTTTCCATCATGATTAAATTAAATTATTTAAAAAAAATTAGGATGCTGCAGCCTCAATCATGTTGCCTCTTAAAACCCAACCAATCAATGCTTACTCTGCCTAAAGCAGTAGTGGAATTTATAAACCTTTTTCTTTTTTTAATGCACGAGTAGAATTTATACTACTTTTGAAAAGTTGCGCAACTTGATGGATAAAGGGAAGAACAGGAGCCCTTTTCTCCATAGTGTATCTGGTTACATTTTTTTTTTTTGAAAAAAAGTTTTGGTAGCAGGCCTTAAGTCTATTTATTTAAAATCAACAGACTATCCAATTTTGGTTCGAGATACTTTCATGGAACATGAACACCCAAAAATCCTAGTACTTAGCCAGCCATTCTTTTCACTCATAGAGCCACATCCCTTGTGATCTTATCGTGGTCCAGCCTAACACCCTTACACAACCTATTTTGAGCTAACCAAAATTCCTGACTAGACAAAATAAAGCAAGCTCGTATTGCGTTACGTGAATTGTGACATACGAAGGACTCGTATGCTGCTTGGCAGCGGCACAGCCCAAAACCCTATCTCCATCCCAAAAGCCCACAGTTTTTGGGGGGGGGGGGGGCGGAGGTGAAAGGTATCAGTAATGCAAAGGGAACTCCGTCGTTGCATAAGCATCGAAATAGTAAAACTAAATGCTAAGGCAGAACTTCAAATTATATAATGACTACAGTGTTACGGCCAATCTGTTCATTTTACCAACTCCATGTGGAACCAAAACTCATGCTGGAGGGCTGTAAAGATTTGCCTCGAGAAACTAAACCAAAAATTAAAAAGCAAAAGGAAGGCAGGGTGATAGAGATTTGTGGTTTTGTCCACCTTGGCACCGAGCAGATCTACAGCTCGTCCTTGGCATCACCATCATCTTCGGCCTTTAACGCAGCAGCAGCTTCTTTTGCATCACTTTCAGCCTCAGCATCAGCAGTATCATCTTCCTCTTCAACTGTTGCATCAGGACTGATGTCTAGGCTAGACTTCACTGAATCGTAAATGCAGGAGGCAAAATCCTTAGGGTCATTTAGCATGAAGCCGCTTTCAAGGAGGGCTATCTGGTACATCAGCTACGCTGTTTGTTTCATGCTCTCATCCTGAAACGTAAGTGGGTCATGTCAAATTCGGAAATTCAATTCTGCTGGGCAAAAACCAAAGGGTGGGGGGAAGAAATCATTTGGATAGGGTCTAATGTTACCAACAAAAACAAGTTTATGACAGAATTCATGGAATGTTGATAGAATTAGAAAACAGATTGACAAGAATTACATAATCGATCATTCCACAAACAAAAGCAAATTGACCATCATTCATGAAATCGAACAAAGTAGTCCCAGACTTCCAGTTTCTAACAGCATAGGCAAAGCTAAGCTTTTGCGTCATGAAATGCACAGAAAAGTAAACATGCATTGATGCATACAGCACATAGAAAATTTGAACAGGAATAAAGATTAAAAGTAGATGGGGAAAAAAACTAGAAACCTTCCAATACTAAATAGTAGAGATTAGACAATTATCTAAAAGCCGGGAAAGATTAACAGAAAAGGGAGCGTAGCTGTATTATTCAATAATATAATAAACACGCTGATTTTCTTTCTTTCTTTTTGGGGGGGTTGAATAACATGCAGCTTTTTTTTTGGGTAAATAGAAAGCAAATGTTATTATTATTAATAATCATACGTTGAATATCTCAGCAACTGAAAGTAGCTAGAAGAATTCAATCTAGAACGTACCTCAGGGTTGTTTGTTACTCTCTCTCGAAGCTCCTTGATGATAGGGTGCCTAGGATTGACCTCAAGAACCCTTTTGCCACGCATGTATGCTTGCTTGCTAGCATCTGACAACGTTTGAGATTGCATGATTCTCTCCACATTAGCACTCCAGCCATATGTTGACGTCACTACCACACAAGGTGTGTTGTCCAAACGGTTGGATATCTTCACATCATCTACATTCTTATTGGAAAGGGCCTTCTTCCACCACTTGGTCAGATCCTTGAAGGACTCCTTCAGGTCCTTATTTTTTGCATCCTTCCCAAGTTTCAATCCCTCCTTGGAAACATTTTGAAACTTTTTGTCTTCATAATCCATCAGGCATTGCATCAAGTATTCGTCCACAGGATCAGTGAAGAAAATAAACTGTAGCAATTGAAAAACAAGTACATTTAAAAGACATGGTATCATGTTCCTTTCCAATCAAAATTTAAAGATAAGAAGTATTCCAAATTTGAGGGCGTAAAAAAAAATCCAAGTATAACTCGGTAAAAATACCCTAAAAACCATAAGTACCTTATAGTTTTTCTTTTTAAGCCGCTCAAGAAATGGAGATTTTTCCAATTGTTCTTTACTGCTTTCAGTTATGTAAAAGATATCCTATCCAAATTTCATTCGGGAGATATACTGATCTAGAGAAGTCAATTTGCCTTCAGACTTGGTGCTGCAATAGTTCAATTAAATTGTCAACAAGTAACAAGGATCAATAACATGTTGCAAAAGGCACCCCACAAAAAAATTCAATCAGAAAACAGGCAAGGCACCTCTCAACTCTATGTAGTTTAGCCAAATGATTTTTGTTGGCAGCATCCTCAATAATTCCAAGTTTAATGGACTTTCCAAATTCATTCTCATCTGCATCAACCACCCAACATCAGTTTAAGTGAAAACCATTCAAAAAAAAAAAAAAAAATTAACAAAGCTTTGCACAGAACTTTGGAATAGTTAACAAAGTGAAGATAAACCGAAACTTTTGCACAAAATGCAGCTACGCTACTATTTTGCCAGTGATAGGAGAGTTGAATAGCTTTGAAAATCACAATAGAAACGGGGGTTGGGATTCTGGAACATTAGTCCAAATATACCTTACCTTTCTTTTTTGTGTCTGGGGACTCATCAGGATCCTCTTCTGCTAACCTACGAATCATATCAATGGCTTTTTTGATGAGTTTTTTCTTGATAGTCTTTACACTACTATGTTGTTGAAGCATTTCTTGTGAGACTTGTTGAAGCATTTCTCGTGAGACATTAAGTGGCAAGGTGTCAGAATCAACAAGTCCCTGTTCACAATGTCAAAATATATGTGTGTCAAGAAAATGAAAAATGCCAATGCTTATAAAATGTAACAAGTGGCAGTAACAAAGCACTCTGGTAAATACCTTCAAAAAGCTAAGGTATTTTGGCAACAATTCATCAAATTCATCTGAAATAAATACTCTTCTAACATATAACTTCAGGTTGGATTTGTTTGCGTTATAATAACTTTCGTATAAATCATGAGGAGCCTTAGGTGGCACAAACAGTATTGTCTTGAACTCAACATTACCTTCAGCAGTAAAGTGACTCCATGCTAGATGTTTCTCATCACTAAAGTCCTGCACAACAGTAAATCACTAATTAACAAACTTCAGGGTGAAGACAAATCCTCTATAACACCCTTCAGCATCCCATAGCAAATTATGTAGGCAATATACCTTAGCAAGAGAGTGGTAGAACTTGATGTATTCCTCATCAGTAACCTCCTCAGGGTTCCGCAGCCAAATAGCTTTCACATCATTCAAAAGTTCCCACTCATATGTTGCTTCTTCCACTGTCTTAGTCTTGGGCTTTGTTTCTTCATCTCCACTTTTCTCAGCATCTTCATCCCCACTATCTCCCTTAGAGGAGTTACTTTCAGCTGTATATGAATTAAAATAAGGTAAGAATGACAGCAATATATGAAAAGAATATGTGTGTGTCTACACATAAATTAAACAAGTCAATGGACAAATGCCAGAGTAGATTCTAAAACTAAGGGTTTTAAAAAGAAAGATCACCCAACCGAGTATTTCAGTTATACATACTTGATGGTTCCTCTTCCTCTTCCTCTTCATTATCAGGCACCTCCACATCAACTTCTTTGCTTGCCCAAATATAGATAGGAAAGTTGATAAATTCAGAGTATTTCTTCACCACTTCCTGTGGAATGAATAAATATTGAATCATGTTTATCAGTCTTCAATAGAACCAGCTCAACGATTTATTCTAGCCTTAGTCCTAATTAGCATCAAATCCCTTTGTGAAACACTGAGGAAGTCATCTTACAATAAAACTATTACCTTAACAATTTAAAAATAGGCGGGGAACAAGAAGGAAAGTTCCAACAGAGAGAATGGCCAGTTGTTAATCCATAACAACATACTGAGGGGCTTGTTTAAACGTTTGGAAGATACAAGATAATATTTTTTTTTTATTAAACAAAATTCAATAGCAAATGGAATCACTTCAGAGATAGAGGCACAGACACTAACTATAATACAGTACAAAATCTACCCCGGGAAGACACCCTATTATTATTTGTTGTCAAAGACAAAAACTATCACCTTCTATACATACCAAGTACATATGTTGTCATTAACCTTAATGTAAATAGAACACCAGTTTAGTGACTACGCAGACAAATAAATACATAAACAAAAATTAAAAGACGTTAAGTTATAGTTGAGTAATTAATAGTAATTAAGCTAACAACTCTTGCATACTTTCAGCTTAGACTCCTCCAAGTATTCCCCAGCCTCTTCTCTGAGGTGTATTCCAATCTCAGTTCCACATCCCAATGGTTCGTTCCATGTGTCTTCTGATATTGTAAATGCTCCATCAGCTTTGGACTCCCAGACGTACCTGAAAGCCAACCAAATTTCTAGCCAATGCTGGGAATGAATGAAATTCAAACAACTTCAAATCTAAAAAACTTACTGTATATCATCATTATGTTTGCTAATGACTTCAACATAGTCAGCCACAAGATACACGGAGTAGAAGCCAACTCCAAATTGTTCGATAAGATTGATATCTCCACTTGTCTGCATTTTCTCAACGAAAGCTGCATGGATAAGGTGTTTCGATTAACATCTTTCACACCTTATCACAAATCTAAAATCATTTAGCAATTAGCTAAGAGAACAGAATATATAATATACCTAAAGTTTTGGATTTTGCTATCGTGCCCAAATTCTTTATTAAATCTTCCTTTGTCATACCTATACCTCTGTCTTGAATTGATAAGATTTTCTTTTCCTTGTCTAACTTAATCTGAAATTTATCATGTCATAAAATGTTTTAAGCCACAAAACAAACAAACCATGTATGTCCGATGACAACGACAAGAAAATACTAACGCCATGATTGCATCAAATTACCATCATTCAATGTATAAAAGGCCCAAATCACCAATTGTTGAGACTAAGTTGAGCATTTAACCGTACTAACCTGGATTTCAAGTTTCGAGCCATCGCCATCACCCAAAATCTCTTTGTCTGTGAGGGAGAGGAACCTAATCTTATCCAGTGCCTAGATTGGTAGAGTAATCATTAACACCAAGTTCAGGTAACAAATTTGATGCGATACCTTTGCAAAATAATAATCTTATAAGAAAACCAGCTTACACCAGAAGCATTGGAGATCAACTCCCTGAGGAAGATATCTTTATTACTATAGAGGGAGTTGATTATAATGTCCATGAGCCGCGACACTTCCGCCCAGAACTCGAACTTCTTCACGTTGCTGTGAAGCGATCTTTTAGAGATTGACTCCAACTCCCTTCATTCACAAGAAAACACGTTTAAGGAATAACGATACAAAGCAAAAATTAAAAGAGATAGTAAAGCATAATAAGTTCAAAAAACCTCTTGGCCACATAAGAATCGGTGGAAAGACCATTTGGAACAGCGCCAATCTTGTCTTCCACCTTCGGTGGATCTACAAGCTCTTCAGAATCAACCACGGCATTCGCCTGAAACTTTCGACCTAAACCAACGCCGATTTACAATTGCATTCACATTTCAAATCGAATCACCAAACTAAACCACACTGAGGCCCGGGTCTTTAGCTAAGAAAATGCAGTCTCTATTCAAAAACAAAACAAAGATAACGAAGAATCGAAAAACTGTAATACCTTGATCGGCAAAGAGAAGGAGTATACAGAGTAGAAGGAGAGATAAAGGAACCGTCTACTTCCTCATCATAGTGTTTGGACTTCGTGGCAGACAGTCGCGAGATCTGACCACTTTAGGATCTATTGGCAAGTTGAGCATTTCCCGACTAAAAGCCTAAAACGGTAAAACTAAAAAAAATAAAAAATTACCAAAAACCATGAAGGACAAATGCATTTACCGTATATTTATTGTGAAACCTATTCAAACTTCAAAGCTTAACATGCATCTTCGTGTTCCTTTTTATTAGCAAAAACTTACTAAAATTTATTTATGTAAAATAATGATTGATTATGTCGATATTATAAAAACCAGACCAGTAATTCAATAAAAGTATTAGTTTATAATTTAATTATTGGATCGTGGTAAAACTGTAAGATTTCATTTAAACGGTACTAATAATAAAATAATAAAAGCCACTCATTATGCAATACATTTGGGTTAAAATGGTTGAGCTTTCAAGATAAAACTTGAATTACTTGGTATACTGTTGATATTGAGAGGCTTGAAACTTTGGTGGTTTCATGGACTTTAAAAAAGTAGAAGTTTACTTTTTAGCGATTATAAGGCTACAGTCATTTTTATCAATACATCATTGAGGAAGCCACTGACATGCTCAATAGAAATTTGATTGTTTCCGTTAATTTCGTGTATGGATGATCCAATAGTGCGTTTGTTTGTTTGTTTATTTGTTTTTTTTTTTTGGTTTTTTTTTGTTAACATGCAAATTGAATTCTAAACTATAAAACCAAAAGCAATTTGAATCTTAAATTTTTAAAAGGTACATTTTAACTTTAATTAATTAAAATTAGGACAACTTCATCTCTACTATTAAGTTTAAACAAACGTTTGTTAAATTATGGTTTAATATGTAATTTTCATCGAATGAGGGTAAAAAAGTGAAATTTTGGTAAAAGTTCCATATTAAGCTCCAATTTTTTTTTTAAAAAAAATGGATGTTTGTTAAACTTTAACCATTAGTGTAAAATTATCTTAATTTTAATTGTTTAGAGTTTATGATATATATTTTAAAAATTTAGGATTTAATTCGTCCCTAAATTTATAGTTTAATATTCAAATTATATATTAACCTCTCTTTGTTTTTTATCCAAAAACCACTTTTTATCT